CGATCCATATTTTGTATTCAATAAAATTCGGGTCCATCCCGAAACGGCCTTCCTCTCAGAATTAGTCGCGTCTCCATGCTTCTTTGGCGGTGGCTCCGCGTTGCTAAACGCAGAACTCATTTCCGATGTCGGTCGAGCGTGCTTTACGACCTGCGAGAAGTATTTCGAAACTGACGTCAGCGCTTTTAACGCCTTTCTCTGCGTAAAATTTCCCATGCTGGCCTCCACTCAGTTTACTGGTCATCAAATATGAGATCAGTTTCCGCTCGCTACAATAGAATCAGCACGTGCAAGCCCTGGGAAGCGAGATATATTTCCAAAATCCGGCCACGAATGTTTTCATCGATAACTAATGAGGGGCTACACTGCCGTGCTAAGGAAGAACGCCGTATGAACATTCGAGAGTTGCCAAATTTCCTTCGATAAAATGTTTATTTTTTAGGAAAGTTATCGATATTTTCCTTGAAATTTTCGGAAAATGTAGGTGGAATTGCGAACAAAAGTTCCTAATTAATTGGAAGAGAAATATTCAGAAGCTTACCAATGAATTGGTATTTTATCTAGGGAAATTTGGCGACGCCTGAAGGCTCATACGGCGTTTTTCCTAAACACAGGAGTACACCGACTAACCGCTTTGCGCGCGCCCCCCCCCCCCCGAACGCTTCGCGCCTCGGGCGTCATACATTACGTTACACGTTCCATTCATAATTTTATATCAAAGAGTGCAATATGTCGTAAATAACACGGTGAAAGTATTTTATTGCATTAATTTTAAAAATGAAGTAAAATATTTTTTTGAAGTATTGATCGGGGCGTGGGGGCATTTACTTAAAGCCTACATGGTTTGAGTCCCAGCTTTGCCGTCCCAGGGAAAATCGCCGTATGAACTTTCAGAGGTTGCCAGATTTCTCAGGATAAAATATGTATTTTAGAGGAGATGTACCAGTATCTTTCTTTAAAATTCGTGGGTATTTGAGATTGAATTGCGAATAAAATCCTCTGAAAATTGTATGGAAAATACTCACAATTTCCCTAAGAATTGACATTTTATCAAGTAAACTTTGGCAACGCCGGCGCATACGGCGTTTTTCCTCAGCACGGGATAGCTGCCCACGTCGCGCGGCCGCCGACTGCCTTTACGCTACCCTTCGACCGCGATGCGCGGTGGACCCTTGCCAGACACCCTCCCAATTTTTACTTCCTGTGTGTTTTTTTTTTTTTGAGGATTGTTACTGACGCCACGAACTTCTTCCGCCTTGGCCGTTTGAAGTCTTAAGTGTACAACCACGTTGTGCATTGGTGACGAAAACAAACCGTTTTTGCATTGGCTCCAGCGCGAAAATATTTTATGGACCTAGTTTAACATAAAGGAACCAAGCCACATCAGCTATTGCCGAATGTAACGAGGCGATTTAATTTTTTACAAAAGAAGGTTTGTGCGGATGCCTTTGAAAATTTCAGGGAATTTGCTTAGTACTGTGCTGAAAATTCACTGAAATTTTCACAAAAATTTGCACATAACCGTTTTCATGGAAAAAATTAAACTGCCCAGTTTTTGGCAATAGCTGATGTGGCTTGGTTCCTTTCTGCTTAACGCGGTCCATATGTGATGAATGGAACAGATTAATTGAAATGAATCAGAAACGGCCGAACGGACGGGCTAGTTAACTCGAGCGTTCCTCCGAACTGAGAGTCCACCGAGGGTGGATGCACCCCTTGGGCCCAGAGTAGGGCCAGCTAGTCGTAAAAAGAGGAATGTAACCTTTTTCTCGAATGAATCGATGTTATCTTATTTTATGATTACATTCGAAAAGTTATATTTTACGGTTGAATCCCGCAATTGAATTTATTCAGTTTTACAGAACGAAGACGAACTCTGCGTAAAGCTACACACAGAGAGTGATCTGAACTGACTGAAGTTAAAAAACAAGGGTTGGGATTCGGACTTAATCTCTCGCAGATGTGGGAATAAAGGGGTCGTCAATCGCTTAATGTCTCAAGAGGGTAACTATTTTAGCTTTTTCGGGGTAGAGGGAGGATGCTGCTGCTGCAGTGACAGATAAATGTATTTGTTGCATGAGGAAATACGAGGGGCCAGGCAGAATTCTGGAGGGTGGCCTCCCTGCTGCCCCCCTTTCCCTGGTTTCATCCATTGCCTGCCGCATAAGTACCTATCTCTCATTTCGAGAGGATTTCTGTCATATTCTGCCGTGCTAAGGAAAAACGCCGTATGAACCTTCAGGCGTTGCCAAATTTCCTTCGATAAAAACCGTATTTACTGAGAAAATCGTGAATATTTGTCTCCAAAATTTTCACACAATTTTTTATACAATTTAATCTAAGACATCTGATAGTTTCAAGAAGAAATATGCATAAATTTTGTCAAAAATACATGTTTAATCAAGAGGAATTTGGCAACGCTTGAAGGCTCGTACGGTGTTTTTACTTAGCACGGCAGTACAATACTCGTCTTTCGAGGCCTCTTGTCACTGCCTCTTGATGGACCACTCGGCATTCGGCATCAATCATTCGGTCATCGAAAGTTACTCACGCTCCTCACCCCACAGTAACTGCCGTGCTAAGCAAGAACGCCGTATGAACATTCGAGAGTTGCCAAATTTCCTTTGATAAAATGTTTATTTATGAGGAAAATTATGAATATTTTTCCTTGAAACTTTCAGGGACTTTAGATCATAATATGAATAATATTCTTTGAAAAATTGGAAGAAAAATATTCCCAAGTTTACCAGGGAATTCGTGTTTTACCGGAGAAAATTTGGCAACACCTGAAGGTTCATACGACGTTTTTCCCTAGCACGGCAGAATAATAAATTGATCAGTTTTGATCAGTAGGAACGTTCGATGAATACCACCCGCGTTAAATACTTCTTCGGGAAGGGTAAGAATTAGGCTTAATTCCATCAAAAACAGCAATCTCCATTATTAAATAGACCCCGTCATGAATGTATTCTCATGGGTATAAGGGCCCAAGTTACACTGGAGATGATAGTTCTTTTGATTTATGTACGTCTTATTACCTGTACTTGTCATGCGAAGTAAGGACGCCGCAGGAATATTGCTACATTTCCCGGATAAAACACACATTTTTTAGGAAAGTTATGCATATTTTTCCGTGAAATTTTCAGATAAAATTGCGAGCAGAATGATTTGAAAAATTTGGAAAAAAAATATTCACAATTTCCGAAGTAAATTCGTTGTTTTATCCATATGGTTCGGCTGAAGGCTTTTTCGGCGTTCTGCCTTAGCACGGCAGTATAGGCTAGTATAGGCTACCACTTGCTAACAGAAGCCCTCCCCCGATTCACCCTTCATGATAATTCACAGCGACGAGTTTTCTGTCCATTCCTCCGGGTTTCCTGAAAGTGACGAGCGTTGAACAGTATCCAGAACACCTGTCACCGCAACTGTTAATTTGTGTTCGCTCTAGAACTCGGGACATGTGACTTTTACGACTTGAGGGTCCGAGATTTCGAGATTTTGGAGGTCTTACCCCCGCAGCGCGGCCTCTTCGGTCTCCCGAGGGAATCGCTGTCGCCGGACAGTGCCAAGAATTGGACCGATTTCCCGCTACCTTCGTATGAAATACGAGATATTCTGGCACCAGTGTCACCCCCTCATGCAGGTTTTTTCCTGTCGCATCGCAGTCATCGCATTTGGCGCCTGTTATGTAACCAGCCATCAACCATGGCCAGTCTTAGAATATTTTTAAAACAAATCAGGAGTTTTATTCGAAAAGGGCGTAATGTCCATGCAACCCTAATGAGATGCATCGCTCAGCGGGCCGGCCGAGTTGCCGAGTTCCGCTGAGAGAAACCAAGTGTCCATCTTATGGAAATGGATGCTCCTTTTCGTGTAAGGAAATAAAAGGTAGTTATGTTGTTTCCGAAATAAGCCGAAAAAGTCGGGTCTTCTCTGCTCTCGGGTCTAATTTGAGGCGGGTATTGTCGTGCACTTCTTCATGTTCGCACGAATCCGTCGTGGGCGGAGGATTAAAATTTATTCAGCAGCACGTTTATCATGCAAAAAATTATACCCGAAGAGAAACAGAAAATCTGAATTAAACTCCCGCGTTTTTTTAACAGTTACTCGGTGTCTAGGACCGCGGAAATTACAGGGTTTACTCTGGGGAAAATCTCCTGAAAAGTAGGAGAATTAATCGGAGAATGTGTCTGGGAAGCTAGAAATGTCTTGTCTTTCCACTCGTTACCTTATAATTTATTTGATGGTTCATGTCATTACCTGGCGCCAGACGATAACCCTTAAAATGTGCGCGAGGGAGCGAGTGAAAAAATCCATATTACAGTCGGCCCCGCTTATTTGGGACACTGGTTAATCGGGACTACCGCTTTTTTGGGACAAAATCGCTCGGGACGGAATCGATCTTTATCGGGACGGAAAACTTCGTTTTATCGGGACACCCGCTTAATCGGGACAAAACCGCCCGGGGCGGATGTGTCCTAATGAAGCGGGGCCGACTGTATTTTTAACCCGGGAGAATAATCTAGTTTTACCCGTCAAATGCAGGACAACTGCGGGTTTTCTTCAGGAACTTCACTCCTAGGATCAAGGAAATATTAGGGAATGAGAATATCCCAGACCTCTGAACACCACGTGAGCGCGGTACCACGCATGCCTGTTTTCCTTCAGCACGGCAACACTGCGCCATCCCCAGCGATGAATCGAACCCTTCGATCTATCGATATATCGCTCGAGCGCGTATCCCGCACGGGGAATCGGTCGACTCTCGCTTAATCGATAGGTCGAGTCATCATCCTCGACGGGAGCCCGAGCCCGCCCGGCTGATCGGACCATTTTCCGCCGTTCAAGGGATTTTATTGCAACCAGATGCGGCGCTATTGTTTCTCACTCTCCTTCCCTTCCCCCCCTCGCCCTCCACTTCGCTGGTGTGTCACACCCTTGAAATCGGACCCGAAACCCAAACAGAAATAGGCTCCACTCGACAGTTTCAGTTCGCTTTCGACGTCCCGGCGCGCCTGTCCCGGGCAACCTGTTGCTTCCTCGGTGTCACGTGGTTTCTGACTGTTCCGACCCTTACGCACCGTGTTTTCGTTATGGATACGTTTTTCAGTTGTGTTCTATTGACTTTTCTGTAATTAGGACTCTTTCGCATCCGGTTTTTCTATCCTCCGTGCTCTATAAGTACTGTGCTTCGTTTTGAATGCGATGTTAAGTTGTGTTTTACGGACTCTTCGACTACCTCGATTTTCGTTCTTATTTCTCTCTACCTCCCATGTGTATGGAAAAAACACTTCTGTTTCTTGAGTGCGGTTTTAACGGCGTTTTAAGGATTTGACTTCTGTTTATTTGTTTCTGACGTGCGATTTTAACGGCGTTTTAAGGATTTGACTTCTGTTTATTTGTTTCCGACGTGCGATTTTAACGGCGTTTTAAGTATTTGACTTCTGTTTATTTGTTTCCGACGTGCGATTTTAGCGGTGTTTTACTGACTTTACTTCTATTCATTTTCATGTGTGCTCATTTATTTAAATTCTAAAATGTGTTCTAAATAGCGCCTACGGATTTTACTTCTATTGATTTTTCATGAGCATTCCGTTTGTAACTCAATCCAGACTATTTTAAAAAGCGTTTGAGTGATCTTCAATTGCGCGCCCGAAGTCCATGCGACCGCAAGCATGTGCGCGAGTGCGTTATTAGCGCCGGTTTTCGGATTTTACTACTGTTGATTTTTCTTGCGTGCTCTTTTTGTTATTCTTTTAAGTCCATATTAAAATGCGTTTAAGTGGTTTTTAACTGCGGAGTCCCGGAGTCCATGTGACAATCAACATGCGTGCTAAAAAAAGTGGACGGAAGATGCCCTCCTATGAAAAATGGCTACGGGCCCGATTTGATAAATACTATGATAAAGCCTTCGTTAAAGCCTTTGACAAAAACACTACCGATGAGGAGTGTAAAAGCGAAGCTATAGAAGAGAGCCGTAAGTCTTGCGCGGTAGAAGAGATCGTGGAAGTAGAGCCTAAAAAAATGGAAGTGAATGGCAATTATATGGTCGCCGCACCCCCCCAATCGGACGGCCCCCGTGCGCCAAGAACCCGTCGAAGTCGGAGCTACGGGGGTTGCGTTATCGAACCCCCTCGGATGGAGGGCGCTCTCGCGTTTTGTACTTTCTCGGACGAACCGGAGGACCAAGACGACGTCGTCATCACGTGGGAAGACGGCGAATTCACACGCGAGTGTGACGTGAAACCGGAAGAAGTTGACCCGTCAAGCGAGTGCGAAGCCAAATCGGACGATGCTGACTCGTTAAACGGAGAGCGTAACAAGTGCGACGAAGACGACGATTTGTGCGAGATCGTGGAAGTGAGGGGTAACGACGATATCGTGAAGGAAAATCTGGATGAGAGCGAGTGCGCCAGAGCGGTCGCGTCGATCCTCGTGGAGCCCTCGGACGACGACGACGAACCGGGAACTTTGTACATCTGCCTCTCGAGCGACGACGAGTGCCCCGCGGTCGATGAAAACGCCAAGTACGCGCAGTTCTGCGAGGGGATCAACGACACGTCTACACCCGCCGTTGATGAGGAGCAACCTCAAGGAAACCGCGCACAAGCTCCCGAAAATGAACCACCGCTAGTCCTTGATGATGCCAACATTGTCAGTGGTACGCGTAACACCACCGGTGAACAGAACAAACTGTCCTGTCCTAAGCCGAAACGCCCAAGGGGGCGACCTTCTAAGCGTAGGTCTAAGGGACTTGCGGTTTCCACTGACGTAGATGTCCCGAACACGAAAAGTGCTGAACTTCCTGTCCTTGACGAGGCTACTTTGGTCACTGTTCTCAGCGATGGAGGCGACAAACCGTCTGATCGGAATCCAAGAAGTGCTACCTTAGTCACCGGTCTCAGCGAAGGAGGCGACAAACCGTCTGATCAGAATCCAACAAGTGATATGCCTAACATCCATGGCGATCTGGAGATAGTGGCATCTTTTCAAAAGCCCAAAGTCATAAAGAGGCGGCCGGGGCGACCACTTGGTAGTAAGAACAAGAAAATTGCGGCTCCCGCTGTTCTAGGTGACGTAGGTGACCCGAGCGCGATCAGTGCCAAAATTTCCAGCCCCGAAGACTCGACCTTAGTTGCCGGTCGTAGCGGAGAAGGCAACCAACAGTCCGGCGTCGGATCACCCGCGAAAAGTTCATTGGACGCTATCATCGAGATGGTGGCAGCCCAGAAGGAGGACATAGTGAAAAAGAGGAGGCCTTACCGCCGGAAGAAGAGCGCAACTGACGAATCAGCCACTAGGAGGCCTTACCGCCGGAAGAAGAGCGCAACTGACGAATCAGCCACTTCGAACGTCGAAGGTCAACCGCTCCCAGCGACGTTCCTTATAGCCAGAAGTATCGTAAGGGATTGGTACGTAGCAAGCGTCGACAAACCTCGGCCACAGACTTCCAGACCAGCGTCCAGCGTCGTGGAAAGTCCCGAAGTGCTTGTCGCCAACGATAAGTCCACGCCAGGAGTTGTCGTCGCCCCGAAGCCTCGGAAACTTGCGCCGTCGGCAAGCGCTGGGAAAAGCGCAGGATGTGGACCACCAACCCTCACTCGCCACCCAGATCAGTTCACCAGCACTCTGTTTCAAAGTTACCAGGTGATGAATTCCTGGTCGCACGGTCCGATCAGCTGCACCAAACAGCAGGTGAGAACCAAAGTCGACGGAAAGTTTTGTCTCGGGAATCGCTCGGGAGTTTTCAACTCGGAATTCGATTTTTCTTTGGGATCGTATTTTAGATTTTTGGCCGTGAGCTCCTCGCGGTTGTATGTGCACGGACAAGTATTAAAAAAAAAATAAAAAATTGAAAGAAACATCAAGTTAGGAAAAATTAAGTTAGGTTGCCGTACATTATAGACGTTCCATGATTTAACTTGTGGGTGAAGCCGGCCGCGTATAGTGGAATTCCTTCGTGATAGCATAGCTGACGACAGGAATTTTTTCGGAAGTCGGATGAGCAAATGTTTCTATGTTTCAGTTATCTTAGTACCTACCCAGTGTAATCTTTGGAACGAATAAATGAAAAAAAAATTAAAAATAAATTAACGCTGAAACTTTCGATATCTCCAGGAACTATCGCAGTCATCTATATTTAATAACTTATCGTCGGATTTTTTTTAAGGTCATGGGGTCCCAATATAAGTCTCTGCCACAATTTTGTTGGAAAACCGTTTTTGTCTGTATACAATGTGGAAGTGTTGAAATTTCGCCTTTAATTTGGCGCGATAATTTTAAAGTTTTCACAAAGTGTCTTGACGCCGCCACTCATGGCGTAGCCTAAACTGTCCCACGGGGAGGGAGGTTACAAAGTCAAAATACTTCAAAAAATTGCGAAAAATCAACTTCATTTCAAGTATGTTTGCAGGTCTAAGGGTGTTCAAACCCCCGAACCCCCCACCCTATTCCCTATTCACGCCACCATCCTCCGCTAAATTAAGTGACGAAACGACCAGCAATATTTTAAAGTCTGTAGATCAAGGCAGAGATTTTCATCATGGTTTTTTCAGTTATGTTGACTTATGCTTTTTCTTTTCTGTTCATGGTGTTTCTTTGTAAGTTTTATGCTTGTCGGAAGTTCTCCGTCAATAATGAAGTTGTTTTGTTTGTGTGTTGCAGCATTTAAGACGGTCACCTGCGCCGGTTGGAGTCAAGCCCGTGACATCCGCGGCAAGTGCCAGCTCCGTAGCAGGGACAGCGGCCCCCGTCGCGGCCACAACCAACACTACGACGAGCCACAGGGATATTTTGGCCACGCCGCTCCTCAACAGAGCCCACTCGCCCAGGACCCATAGCCCCGCCCGTGAGAGGGACAGCTATAGGTACGTGACCTACCACTAGTTCTTTGACTATTTATCGTGTAAGCAAGCTCCAAGTCAGGGAGTTCAAACAGAAACTTACAATTAGTCGAGGGGNGGGGGGGGGGGGGGGGCTTAAGGGGGTCTGCACCTTCCAGCTCCATTATTTAGAAAAAATTCTCTCTTCAGGAAAGGTTCAATTTTCAGCGATTATTTGGAGTTGGACATTTGTTGGCCTAGCCAGAAATTTTCCATGCACTGAGAGGGGTCTGAAAGTAAACAGTTCCCTAATTTCATGTCTCCGAGTCTCAAAAATCAAGACCTGTGTTTTCAAAATTAATCTCACCGTTAAGGAAGAAATGTTGCTGTCCACACTTCTCTCTAATGCAAGGACAATTTTGTAATAGTTTTACAACTTTTTTTATAATTCTGACCAGTCCGTTGTAATTCATTTTTTTAACACTTGAAAAAGTAGCAGGTTTTCCGTAAGGCGGAAAGCATGATTTTAACTAATAAATTCAGTCAATTCAATTTTTTTTTTATTGTATTAGTTTTGAAACCGACCTGCAAAACTACCCAACCATTCTCGTTGATTTGAGGAACCTAATTCCCCCCCACTATCATTGATTCAAGATACCTAATTAATTCACTCCTCACTTCCTTATCTAATCGCAACACTTTTTGGTTTGCCTGTTTACAGTAGTAATGTCAGTACATTAAGTAGAGGAAGTGTGCCAACACCGGTGAGCAATTCTTCCCCATTTTCAACGCCTTCAATTCCTCCAGTCTCGGCTCCAGCTTTACCTCCTGTATCTTCTAGTCTAACTTTCAACAAAGCATCTGTCTGGCCAGCGTAAGTATTTTTTCCTCCTTTAACATTGATAAGTTCCCAAAATTTTCCCCTTTGAGCAATCATGATCTTTCCAGCGGTAGAAGAGAGTACAATCTAAAAGGTGCTTTTGGTATAAAGAAAAACTGTACGAATTTGTGTTTACTTTGAATCGAAGTAATTCAAGTTTAAAATCTTAAATGTCACTCGTCTACTTACTAAAATGCATAAATATTCATAGCTGATCTGTAGAAACAACCATACTGTCATGCTGAATAAAAATGTCGAATGAACATTTTAATGTTGGAAAATGCCCCTTGATAAAAAATGTATGATGGAAGTAAGTTATGCACATTTTCCCTTGAAATTTTCAGATATTTTAGATTGAATTAAAAACAAAATCGTCTGAAAATTTGAAAGAACAATATTCACAACCTTTACAACAAATTTGTATATTATCAAAGGAAAGGCAGCACCTGAGAGTCCGTACGGCATTTTTCTTCACTACCTCAGCATAGTCGGCACATCTAATGCAACTGCAACATATTGAACAAAATATTCCAGCAATAAGTTGTGTCATAGAGAGCACCATTTGAGCTAAATTTGTCTTGTGCATGCTCTTTTAAAATTACCAGAATAGGTAGGTAATTTTTGCTTATTTCCAGATAGTCGGACTGTTATCACTTTCTGTCCAAAAGTTGTTTTTAATGATGTATTGCAACGATTTTTACATAATCCTCTTTATTAATCTTTTCCAGGCCGGGTGGTGCAAGTAGTCCTGCTACAGCGGCTCGTCAGCATCCTCATTATCCATCGACAGCGCCCTTGTTTCCGCCAGTCACGACGGCACCTTCGTTGGCTCCTCCCCCAAGTGCAGCGCCTTCCCAGGCACCTAACCCATTCTCTGCTGAATCTCTTTTCCAAACAAGTGAGTAAAAGCTTGAATCTACTTAGAAAAGGAGAGGCAAATGTCACATCAGAGAATGGCACCATTCAACTGCTTACAAGGTAACCATTGGGCCAACTGATGACTGAATCATCCAGGTTGTTGACGTGATTTTTGCCTCCTCCTCTCTTTCTCCATTACTACCACCAATGGTAGCCATGGATCTCTACTGACTTAGAAGTTGTGTGCTCTCACTCTTCAGGGCTCTTCAAGTTCTATAATATACATAGGCAGCTGAAAATTTGAGAACAGAAATTTAAGAACATTGTATGTTTGGCCATGCTAAGCAAGAAACACCTCTCTCCATTCCAGATTTTGCGAATTTCTCTCAGGTGTATTATTCAAAAACCAAGTAACTTTCACACCTATTTAATTTGATTTTTCAGGACTCGTACTGGAGGATATGTAGTTTGTAGCGATCCTGAAAGAACACAAAGTATATATCCTAAGGTTTTTTATTCATGAAGCGTTCCGTTGAAGAAAGACTCGCAAAATCTGGAGCGGAGTTCTGAAAATTTTGCCCTAGCATTCTTGAATTAAGTGTATGATATTGGAATTGTGTTTTCTTTAACTAACTTACTGAGGCATCGTGGCTTTTAGCAGATCCGAGCAAGTTTCATTAAGTAAAAAAAATATGATCCATTTCAAAAACATAAATAATTTTCGCAATTTTGAGGAAGAGTCAAAAAAATTGAATAGGTCTGAGTAACATTTTTTGCTGAGTTCCTTATGCTCGAAATTGTTTACATACAATTTTTTCCAATTCATTTAATCATACTTCGTTGTCTCTGTTCCAGATCAAGCTGATTTACTAAGGCGGGAGCTGGACAATAGATTTCTGGCTTGCCAAAGTGGCGGTGCTCCTCCAACGTTTCTGCGGACGGAAATGCATCACCATCAACATCAACATACTCATGTCCATCAACATACACCATTGTTGCCTCCGCCCCCTCCGACCCACGCAACTCACCCGAGCCTGTTTCCACCCCCTCCTATTGTAAGTTCATACCTCTTTACTGCTTCTCTCGTTTTTAGATTATTCTCGTCTTATTATTTCTCTTAATTTTCTTGAATTTGGTACCTTAGGATAATTTCAAAAGGAATTGTGTGCTGGAGCAAAGAAAATAAATTAAGGTTTGCTCGATGTGGTAAACGGGAAAGCTCATACTTTCGAAACCTGAATTTAAAGGTTTTTTTGTACGACAATGCAGCCACTTATGAGTCTAGGCTCACGGCTGGTGAGTCACCACACAAACATATTGCCAAAAATTGTCAAATTGTTTTCTTAATTGGTCAAGCTGGTCAAATTAATTGGTGCACCTTATTTTTCAGTCTAAATGTGCATTCGAAGCAATATGGTAGTGACAAATACTGCCGTGCTAAGGAAAAACGCCGTATGAACATTCAAGAGTTGCCAAAAGCCTTCAATAAAATGTTTATTTTTGGGGAAAGATATGAATATTTTCCCTTGAAATTTTCAGGAACTGTAGGTGAAATTACGAACAAAATTATCTGAAAAGTTGGAAGGAAAAATATTCACAAGTTTACCAGGAAATTTGTGTTTTATCAAAGGAAATTTGGCAATGCCTGAAGGTTCAAATGGCGTTTTCCCTCAGCATGGCAGAATACTGCAACTTCTTTTTTCAATGTATAAAGTTTATGTCCCACCCTCCCTCTTTTTATTAAACTTCAACATAGCCTGTTAAGCAAGAACCTTCAATAGCTTCCGTCTTACATCTTTGTGTTTTGTTTTTGATTAATTTTAGTTCAAAGATATACCAAAACTTGGTGGCGTTGATTCACCTTTCTACCGTCAAAATCTAGGACTGAACAGTTATCCAGGTTTTTCACCAGGACTCCTGCATCCAACTCTTGGTGCAACACCATTTGCGCCTCCAGCGCATCTCCCTACATTTACGCCAAAGGTAAGATTCTTTTCCTTTATAAGTACATACTTCTCAGATACCCCCTAGATATTAACTCCTGAAAATTGTCTGGTCCTTTTAATGTATCATCACTGTCTATGTGATAATCAGAAGTTTATTTTGTCACTTAGTCAAACCATTGTCTCATTGTGGTTTTTTTTTTTTTTTTTTTTTTTTTTTTTTTTTTGGAATAACCGTCTGAAGAGCAAACCTCAATCTAAAGAACAGTTAAATGATCAATTTGAAAATAATACTGTAACAATTTTTAGTTTTTTCAGATCAAACAATTCTCTGAGTAGTTTTTTTAACTGTCTTAGTTTTCTATCAAAGTTTCATCTTTCAAACATAATGTGCTCGTTTACATCTCCTAGCTTGAGTTGCACGTAGCAATGTTGTTGATGTTGAGCTGAACGAATCAAATCTTTCTGTAAATATGTATCTCTGCTTCTCCCCTGATTTTTTCATCCCATTTGCTTTCATCCAAGAATTCTTCTTTCTATTCCTCAGCATTTGCTGCATTTTCATGCTCATACATTTTATTTATTATTTTATATCAGTTGCTTATTTGCTTTATTTTGCTTGTTTTTTTTCAGCAATTGACTGATCCTACCAAACCTAAACCAGTGGTATGTTTCTGTTTAGTTTTTTTCATCATAATTTTATTTCAGTGGACTGAATTTTTATTTTGCTTTGCTTGAATGTCCCTACACTAAAACATTTTTATTTTTGCAAGGTTACCATATTAGATTTACTCCTCAAAACATTTTGTAGATCCAAACGTTTTTGTAATCCCTCTTAGACCCTGGAATTCCACGCTGGAATTCTTAATGGAGCTTTATCGCATTAACACTGAATGAGAATAGTTCAACAATTATTTAGGTGCAGAATTACACAATTTATCATTTTTTTTTGTGATTTATCTACAAAGAAATAGGCTGAGTGAAGAAACAGGAGTCTATTTATCATTTCTTTCCACGATTTGTGTTTAGTGACTTCAATCAACTAGAATACCTGCCCTGCTCTCACTGTTAGTCAAAAGTTCCTCAGCTTGTTTCAAAAGGATTAGATGCCTTGCTGGATCTAACTTTCCTCAAATAGTAGAGCCGTGTGTATTTAATGAGTGTTGATATTTTTTAAGAATTAATAATTAAGTTTGATCATCTTTCTTTTTCAAAATAGAAAACTGGCAAATGGAATGCAATGCACGTTCGGATAGCATGGGAAATCTACCACCACCAACAGAAGCAGTCAGCAGTAGAGCTGAAAGGCACCAAAACGGAAGGACTGCGACCCCCGAGTCACCTGTTCCCAAGGCCTCAGGATTTCCCGCATTTCCGACCGCCTTCTTTCGAAACGTCAGCGCACCCTGGTCACCCTGGAAGCCATCCCTCTCACACCACGCATCCTTCACATACAGCACATCCCTCTCACCCGTCGCATCCAGCTCACCCTGCGCACCCCTCTCTGCCATCTCATCCTTCACACCCGGGACACCCTGCTCATGCAACCCATTCTACGCTTTCATCTCACCCTTCACATCCTTCGCATCCCTCACATCCTTCCCATCCCTCCCATCCCTCACACCCAGCTCATCCCTCTCACCCTTCACATCCCTCTCACCCTTCACATCCCTCTCATCCGTCACATCCACAGAATCATCCTGCAGCGCATCCAGCAACGTCGCCGTTCTCAACAATCGGCAAGTCTATAGGTGAGTCTTTTTGTTTAAGTGAGAAGCTTATAAAGTGTTTTTTTCTCTATATTTAGTATTAAATCGAAAGGGGGTCCTTCTTGACCAATGTCATGTTTTTGTTTGAAGATCCTGGAATTTATTTTTCTAAAAAAATAAACCCCAAAAAATGAAAAATGCTAGATTAATAAAGTGCAAAGTACATTTTCTGAAGTATGAAGGATATGACATTCTCCATGGCAGCTAAATTTTGTAACAAAGATTGTGAGTTTTCTATTAATTTGAGTAATAGAAATTTCTTCCCAACACAACATGAAATGCTCTAGTGATGAACTTTCTTCTCAATTAAACATTGAAAGCATTTAAAAATTAGTTTATTCTACAATTTCATTTTTATTTCAGGTGGTGTAAGTGGCAGCATGTTCGGAAGGTATCCTCCGTCACACACGTTTTCATCTTTAACAGCCTTTCCTCCATCTCCGCTTCATGATCCTTGGGCTAGGTAAGCAGCTTTGATGACGTCACTTTTTAAATATTTTCGGCGCTAAGAAAATGTAGACTGTTCTAAGTGAGCGATTTGAATACAAATTTGTCGCTGACAATGCCTTAAAACTGCATGGAATGTGATACAAGCTGAAGTGCACTATTCTCTTCTTAAAATCTTAATTGAAAGAAACAATGTCAATGATAGGATATACGACTTTATCTCTTATTTTTGTTTTCCCAAAAGTGGAATTTTTCAGTCGTTAAAGAATATAAAATTAATTATTAAGCAAGACACGAAGACCTTTGAAAGTCGCTGCCAGTCAGTTAGTAGCTCAACAAGTTCCTGTTGTTTCATGAAAAAATTGTCAACAATTTTTCGTAAAAATTCAGTGAATCTTCTCCATTTTTTGAAAGATATCCCCTCTAAATTTGAATTTTTTTTATTAATTTTCTCTGAAATAAATGAAAATTAATTAGAGGTTTTTCAGTGTTGCAATGGAGATTCTTTGCCTTTAATCATTGCTATTCTACTAAGGTTATTTCATGATATTTTGTATATAGCTCCTGAGTCGTTTATTGGACATCGTAATTATAAGTGTTCTATCATGTTTGAATGTAAATTAATGGAGGTATTAAACTGTGTCTTCAGGTTGCAAACTAGAGCAGTGCCTGGCGCTTACCCAGGCGGCACGCCACCGACACCATGGACGATCAAACCCGATCCAGCGGAGCTCGAGCGAGAGCAGCGTGAGCGAAAGGAACGAGAGCAGAGCAAAGAGCGGGAACGGATGAAACGAGAAGAGAAGCAGCGCCGGCTTTTAATTCACCAACAGCAACAGCAGCAACAACAGCAGCAACACCATGCGTCACCGTTGCACCACCACACGACTCCGTCACCGAAGATGGTCAGAGACCGGAGTCCGCTCAGGGAATCAATGCCTGTCGTAGTGCCCAAAGAAGAAGAGGTCGTTCTGCTCGGCAGACCGCCTCCACACTTCCTACCGCCACGACAAACTCCACGTACGCTTCCTTCACATTTCACACCGTGGGAAAACCCCTACAGGTAAGGCCAACAAGTTTATTGCCGAATGTTGTATCTAATCATTCTATTGCATTCTCATGACACAAATCAGGAATCCCAAAAAGCTTCTCACTAAGAAGTTCTCATCACTTAGAGCTTCAAGTTTGATAAAATTTTGTAGATGAAATCAAATCAGCTTTTAATAAACTTTAAAAAAAACTGCTATTTGGTAGTCTGTAGTATTGCTAACACTTATTGGACGGGGAAAGAGTCCAAGTATCTCCTCTTAATTTACACCCTCCTTCAGTGGATGTGTTCTCTTCCTAATTACAGTCCTGTTCAGGCCACCTTTCTATCACTCATTCTCTTCATACTCGCTTCTATAATTTACAAGTGTAAGGACTTTTGTGTCTTAAGTATTCATGGTATCTCTGTTTGCGAAACAGCAGAGCTTAACAATTATACCAATAAAAATATTGAAAACAAATAGATTTAACAAGTTTGTATTTTCTTGCTAATAACCAAAGACTTCTGACTTAAACAATTCACAAGTTCCTGTGTGATACTGTGTTTTATCTGCATAATGAAGTAAATTTGAGACATATTTTTGCAATTTTTTCAATTGTCTAGTGTACAATATCCACCGCAGGTGCAAAATGAAATTATGAAAATCACCTCGATTTTTACTTATAAAGCTTTGAAGCTTAAAGCCTTTCGTTCACCAATCACAACTTCCTGCAACTTGGAAAATATGTGTGGTCACTACCCACTCCCATTAAATGTATGTGGCTACCAGGGTCTTCAACTTTTTTCCCTCCTTTAATTGGTCAAAATTAATTTTTTTTACTTAACTGTTCTGCAGGTATGATCCAATGAGATTCACCCCACTAATGGCTGCATATCGAGCTGATGAAGAGTCGAAACTCTATGGTGCTTACCCTCCTGCTCCTCATTTGAGGAAGGACCCTTCGCCGACTCTCCGACCTCTACCTCCGAACACGGACCACCTGAAGAAAGAAGACACCTCGCAATCACGATGATAGACTTAGCCAAGACTCCATAGGTAGATTCCTTTCTTCAACGGTGAAGAAGAGACTGCAGCCAAACTGATGAATCCATGTGTTCTTGTTATTATTTATTTTTGTACTCTGAATCAATTTTGCAGTCAAATTAGTTTGTTTTCCTGTGATGTGTTTACGAATGTGCGACCCACATTAATACTTAGATTATCTGATAAACTTGCGTTTGATGTGTCGAGTGCAATCAAATGTGCTGTACTCTTTTTGTCGCTCCATTTACCAATAATCGAAGCAGAATAATTTTTTGCTAATTTTATTTAAATAGTCTTTCTACTTATCGGTTTTATTTTTTTTAAATCTGATTCATCGAATATAAAAATCGATTCAAAGGCTTAAAATGTAGACGATGTGACGGATTCATGGATGACATGCAACCAGTCATTGAGAAGGTTAACAATTTAATAACCTCCTTTTTATTTATTATTATCAATAAAATGAAACATCCTGAATCTTCAGTATGTACTTAGTTCCATCCATTATTAAGATTTTAATGTGTATTTTTTATAATACATATCAGTTGCTTGTGCAATTATGACAGAGCGTCTACATTTCAAATTTAGCATCACAAAAACACAGCTTTGTAATTGACAGAGAAAACTGCCACTTTTCAGAAATATCTGATGTATTTTTGTGTTTGTTTATAGCATCCATTTTCAAATCTAACAGCATTATATTCTTTCCATATCTTGATAGTATTTTAAACGTTTGAAGAAAGCATGTAATTCTTTGTTAGTTTTCAAAACGCAGATGATAATATCCGATCTGTGCTCATGATGTCATTGGGTACTCAGATAGTAAAATTTCAGGCTCTTTTTTTTTTCAAAGCGATTCTCGATCAGTAGCAATTATTGCAAAAACCTCTTTTTAATTTATCATCTTCAGCTTCAGCTAATGATTCTTTAGACCAGATCACTTTAGATATTTATCACATGTAGGAAGCATTTTCAAATTGTTTTTAAATTAAACTATTGGAAAATTAATATGAGAAGTTTTGTCAATTTGTCAGACGATGTCTCTCAAAACTTTTTATTTTTTTATTTATTTCTTTAAGTATTATCTATTTGTATGACCAATTGCTGTCTCTGCAAATTAAGTTCGTTATGTTGAAAGAAACCGTTGATTTCTATTCGTTTTTCCTCTAATGATTTTTGTCTCTCCTTATCCAGATTTATGTAGTATTTTTTATTTTGCCCTGAAGTCTAGATACTTTTTGCTAGAAATATTTGACAAAAACTTGATACAAATTTGAGAAAAAGTGCAAGCCTTCCTTGATAACGTTAATTGGCATTGTTTCTTTTGACAGAAAGTCATGATTTTCACGCATCAAAATTTATGCATCTTCCTTTGTAAAACTGTCTATCCAAACTTTCATGTACCTCTGAAAATATATAGAAAGAAAAATTGTCGAAACGGGTTTTAGGTGTATTTTTTAGTGTTTTCCCAATTTTCGTTTCAATCTCTCTCTTTGTTGCGAACAATTCTTTCTCTTCCTAAGCCTTGCCCATTGCTGAATGTTTCAGGTTTCTTTTCTCTTTATTCTCTTTTATTTTAGTCCAGCCTGGGGCAGCTGGATCCTCTGTTCTTCTATGATTTTGTTTTATTTTGCAAAGTTTTCGTTACAAGATTTAGACTTTATCTGTACATAATATAATGATGATCTAACACAATCTGTGATTTAGGAAGGTAAATATGTATAAAAAATTAATTTGTGTAAATTTTTCAAGTGATGATTAGGTAGTGTTTACACAATAAACCAATCAACAGTCTAAATCGTGCGTAGATCACAAATTTAACATGTCTTTCCTTTCATTAGCGCTGTGGTGATCAGCGAATCGTCCCCGATAGGACATTTTTTAGGTCTGATTCGTTTGAAATCTAGTCAGATTATGTAACTTGTGCTTGTAGATATTTTAATTTCTAAAAGAATTTTGAACGAATTCTTTCGTTTCCTGAATTTATGACTAATTCAATTGTTTTTGTTATTCTGTAGGATTTTTTAAAAGTGATTTTTGCCCGTTCAAGTCTGCACTCTGGGCAGATTGATGGCTAATGCATTAATTTTTTTATTTTGTGCAAAGGTCGTCGATATCGTTGTGAGAAATTCACTGTCAAATCATGATCTGATCATCATCGACTTTGATAGAACCTATTTTTGATGGTTGTGCCTCTAAGGCTTTACGTTTTTCGGTTGATGAAGACTGCAGATGATGTTTCCTAGTTCATTTAAACTTTCATAATTACGTACAGTAATAATAATACTAAATTAATTTCTATCAAGAGTTAAAATAAATTTTCTATCGAAACGAAGTTTGTTGTCTAGATTATCTATTAACAGAGTTACTAATCAAAAAGTTACTTGAGAAAGGAGAATGGTCCAATTAGCATGAACTTACTGCTTGGAACTTCTTTTTACTATTTCAGAATAAATGGATTCTTCCTCCTCTTCACTGTTCGAATCGACCAATTTTATACCTCTATATTACATTAATAGCCAAATCAGCATGCGGCTGATTGATATTTTCGGTCTTTGCCTCAGTATAAAAAAAATTATACTATCTTGATGCATAATAAACTTTTTTTTTATCATAATTCATAAATAACTTTCTTTTTAATACATCAAATGCATCTTATCTTTTGATGTATCTGGCCCAGATATGATGCTTTTACTAACAGCACTGTGATGTCAATTGCTTCTCTGTGAAGACTGAAGTATTTTTTTTTTATCATCTATGAAACTAAAAACCAACTAGTAATTGTTTAGCCTTATATTCATTCTTTTTTAAGAATGAGGTATTTATTTAACACCCAATGTACCGATAAAATCGATAGGTTTTGCATTTTATGCGGCTGGAATTTCAAAGGTGAAGAATGGAAACTTGTTTTTAACTTATCTGCTTTTAAGCATCTATTTTATGAAATTTTTACCCCCGCATCTTGATGTGGAAACTAGATTGGTTGTTCTAATGGAGGTTTTAAAACCAACTTTTACTCAAGTTGAATTTTTTTTTTTTTTTTTTTTTTTTTTTTTTTTTTTTTATTATGATAACTTAATTTTTCTTTGAATATCTTTTTCATCTTGGGAACACCAAAAAATTCCGAAACCTTTAAAATGCACCTGCCATAGCTACGTTCTCCATTTTTGTCCATCCGTCGTGTTTTATCAATTTAGACGCATTCAAGTATTATGTGACTTGTTGGAAGTGGTTGATAGAGCCTGGATTATTTTGAGGGAATAAAGTTGGGCCACTTTCTAGAAATGTATTAGTTAAAATAGAAGAGGAGAGGGGTCTATTTTGCATGCATTACTTAAATTCGAATCTGCTAACCAGAAAGAGGCCCGACATTGGTTGAGAAGTATAGAAAGTGCATGGCGCAACACTTGAAGGACCCCTCTAAGTGCAATTCATGGAACTTATCCTACCTTGGTCGAGTAAATCGTCTAAGACCTCGAATCTCTAGTTTTCATGAAATGCCGTCAGTTCTGATTTTTATTTGAATTTTGGAAATTCTGTTTTTACATGCTGCATTGTGGTTGAATTGGACTACATTGAGTAAATTGTGTCTGTGCTCTTTTGCCATTTTACAGCATCTTCTAATTTTAGATTCCTGTTTTCCGCTTTTTTTTTTTTTTTTTTTTAATTACTGTAATGAAGATTGAATCAAATGTGAAATTTCAAGTCTCTATCTCAATTTTTTCAAAAGATACAAAGGTGGTGCCTGAGCCTAGTGATACAGGACTTTTTGATTACCCTATTGAGTGATCTGAAAATAATCAAAGTTAACTGGAAATTCCCATAAGTCAATCTTTCCTTAAAGACTCATACCAGATCTGATCATGCATTTTTACCGTAAATGCTCTGTTTTCATTTTTTCGTTTTGTATTACAAATCAAGATAAAATTGTGGGCCATTTTAAAAAAGGGCATAAATGCATTTGACGTTGTAAAGATGTACTTCTTACGATAAGTTTTTTTTGTCAATCTCAAATATTTATCTCTACATGACCACTCTTTAAAATTTTTTCATCTTATGAAGTCATTCTCCTAAACAAATTTTTATCAAAATAGAAGAGTGGTAAAGAAACACAATTTTTTACAACACCAAATCTACATGTGCTCCTTTTCCCGGATGGTCCTTCAATTGAGCGAAAATTTAGACAAAATTATGATTTAGATGAAGTAGTTGGTCTCTATTTATTTACAAAAGAAGAAGCAAAGCAAGTAATGAGAGTATTTTCAATTTTCGTGTTTCCTATTATTTCTCGTTCAACTCAACAGCCTTGCGTTTAATAATAAAAGAATTGCAGTCATCATAAAACTCACTAATAGTATATCTGATGTTATATACTTTCAAATCACAGAGGTGTTCAAGTAATCAGTCGGAATTTTGTTTTCCCTTCGAGAGAAGTAGAAAAAAACCTTAAGACTGGGCTATGCCAAAGTGGTGTTATAAATTAATGAGGTTTCCAAAGGCCAGTCAAAGTTGAAAGTTAATATTTGCCTCGGCTAGAAGGCATTTTATCGGTTTCAGTACTTGGAAAAAATTATGATGAAAAAAAAAAGAAAAATTATTTATTAAAGTCATCTTCTTTTATTCATAAAAAATTATGCAGCTTTTTCTGAGTGATAAATTGAAATTTAGCGATGGTTAATCGTTTTGAATTCAAGATGACTTTAAATTCGAGCTTGAAATTGATGCCCTGTAAAAAATATTCTAGAAAATTTCGATCGCAATTTAAAGTTAAAACAATCAGTCGTGTATCAAAAGTTCCAAAAATTCTACAACTTTTTGACTAGAAAGGTAAAAAATGTTCACGCAGCTTATAAAACTAATTTATGAAGTCCTGCATAGACTTATTTTAGCCATCAGTAACTTTCCTTCAACATATGTTTTCATGTACAGAACCAGAGTTTTGTACGTTGTATCTTGAATTGTTGTTTTTTTGTAGATATGTAAGTATATTTTATAATGAATAAAAACCAGTGTATATTGTACGGTTTTAAGTATGATTATAAATATTTAACAATTTGTAGAGCTAATTAAGGAAATTTCCCTCATTGAACGTGAAACGTTTGTATAGATAGATCAACCCTGTTTTGTAAATTTTAACAAATTTCTGTACATATTTCTCCCTTTCTTTGTAAGAAATAGGAATAAAATGAATTTACTTTGATTGTAGCACATCATCTTGTCTTCATTTATCTATTTTCCGTGAAGCTTCCTTCTATTCAAAACTATTTCTGAATTTGCCATAAACTTGCATAGATGTCACATAGCTGTATTTTAAATGATATGATCTTTCGAATCGTTATGCCTTCTAAAAAAAAAATCCATGAGCAAACTTCCATGCATAGGCAAGTGTGTTGGAAGTCCAATCAAAATTAATAATTCATTATGAAGATTATCAAACTTTGATTACTCTTTTGAAGCTCTTAGTGACACACTGTTTGAATTTTTTCTTTAAAAAAAATCCAAGCTAATCTCTTAGACAGTATCTTTAACATGGTCACAAGGTGTAAGAGATAGATGGCAGGCAATAACTGAAAGAGTAATAGTGGTTTCTAATTTCATGCCACAACATCATCTGCTAAAATATTCATCATTAAAAAGAGATTTTGTCTTGGAACAAGAACAAATATATCGAAATAATTTCATATTTTTTTGCCGCCATAATTGTCTCAGAAAAAATTTTAATGTAGGACTTGCGATTTCTTGAAGAGGGAAAGTGATAAACAATTTTATTGAAAAGAAAATCATTCAATTTATTTTTTACCATTTTCATTTTTTAAAAAAAAATAACTCACATTTTTTAATCTCATGATAAGAACAGTCGAATTGAGAGAAACCACTGATTCCCTATCAAATAAATCTTTTTCAGATCTTGTTCGAAGTAGTTGAGTAGAAAACAAGTATCTTCATACATACATTGTGATCCTTCAAAATACTGTTTCTGTAAAAACCCTTACTCAAATTTTATACCCTGAGCAAGAGTGAGACCTTTGCCATAGTTCCAGGTAACCGTACTTCGTCGCATGTACTGTTTCCATGAGTCTGAGCCACTCTCTCGTCCTCCACCAGTGTGTTTTTCGCCTCCGAACGCTCCTCCAATTTCCGCACCATTCGTTGGGATATTGATGTTGACGATACCACAATCTGAGCCCTTTGGTCCGATCCACTGTGTTTAAGAAAACAGCTTGTATTAGTTTTGCTTATCAACAGCCGTAGAATTTCCACTAGAATTTAAAATGACGCTGATCTGGTTGAGGTTTTAATAATCTTACTCCCTGTAACTAAAACTTAGTCTCTATGAAGTTAAACTCATGCTGCACTAACTTTGAGGTGAAATTAGACTTGTTTATACCAAAAGGAACGATGTGAATAGGGCTTGCATGCCAGAATAGTTCCTTTTAGCATAAATACGTCCAATTAATGACCAAATGCTTCATTGCAGGCAATATCAGCAAAAATTCTAATTCTGCCAAGATCTTTCAAATGAAGAGAGAGTGACAAGTTACCAAATTTGAGGGGCACACTGAACCATGGCCATTGTATCAGAACCATTGGGAGGGGGGGGGGGGGCTTAAACTGTACAAGTCTTAATTGTTTTGTACTTTTTCTTAACATAGTGTAGGATTACTTAATGCAGTTAATTTTCATGAGGTTTTTCAGTTCATACGTCTGTACTTCAAGATTGAATGAAAATTCAATGGCATCAACTGCTCTACCGTAAAAAGAAAAAAAAGTCTATTTTCCATGAACTGTTTTCCTAGAAAAGTTAAAAAATGTTCCCGATTTCATCTGTAATTTGATCTAGTTACATTACCCATGATTTTATGAGAGGCATTCTGATCATTGTCCATAGAAACAGTTAAGAAAGAAAGGCACCCCTCCTCCCCCCTCACCCTAGCCAAGTCTAACTGACCTATTCCAAAATACTTGAGGATCCGACAGAAAACTTGAGTAACGTTTAAAAAAAAATACCACCTTGAACACTGTGCTAAAGTTCTCCGTGAAGATGGATGAGGATAACCCCTGGTCCACTTCGTTGTTCCATGCAATCGCTTCCTCCACTGAATCCGTCGGTAGAACGTAGACAATTGGGGCAAAAGTCTCTGTTTTAATGATTGGTGAATCGTGCTTCAGACCTGATACTATGGTGGGCTCCACGTAAAATCCTGGCCGATCAATGATCTGCAAACCAAATCAGTTCAAACACATTTAAAGGGCCCAGAGCATGAACGTATTCAGCGACTTTTTTGGAAATATTGAGGTACTTATTGATTTTTTTTTAATACCACTAGTATCAATTATACCTATGCAAAAAATCATTAGCCCTAACTCAATTTTTAGTATCATGACACAGATTTTAAATTTTCTCAAGCTGCAGTGTTCGACTGTCTAATTTTTAACTTACTTAGAGTCTGAATCTCTCTAGGTGTACAGAATTTGCTCGATCGCCCGATCCGTAAATCGTGGGTGGACGATGTACACACACACCTCAAAAAACACGGTTTACCTATACTGCCGTGCTGAGAAAGAACGCCGTATGAACATTCGAGAGTTGCCAAATGTCTCCGGATAAAATATATATTTTTAAGGCAAGTTATGAATATTTTACTTTGAACTTTTCAGATATTTTAGATTAAACTGCGAGCAAATTGTCTGAAAAATTGAAATACTAATGAGAACAACTTCCTCTTAAATTCAAATTTTACCGAAGGGAATTTGGCAACGCCTGAAGGTTCATACGACGTTTTTCCGCAGCATGGCAGTATAGGTACCTGCACACTCTGACAAGCGCAGTACTCGTAAGTATGTGTACTGGTGTAGTGATTGAAGTATCCTTACGATGCCGAAGGCGCTATTTATGGTGCACGCCTTTTTTTCCAGCTGTAATTCAAATTCGTGGCGTCAAATTAAAAGTATTAGGTGTAGCCTTCTTGCTGTAAATTTTGCGAGTACCTTGATTAAAGAACCTAATAAAAATGTACAACTCACTACTTACACGCTGATTTTTGTGTAAATAACTGCAGCTGCGCTAATGTATTGTTGATATTATTGTTGTGTGCTGTTCGTGAATTTTCTCAAAGAGGAGCATTAAATCGACGAAAGAACATTGGCGGATCCAGCAAACTGGCGACATTGTTTTTCTCCGTTTGAATCTATGGAATAATGTATCGATACTTGGAGGGGCCGCGGGGCGATTATTGAAACTGATAGACAAAGCGATAGACAAAGATGACATAGGGGGTATAAAGCAATTCTATTGGTTGAAATGGGTGGTTCTCATCGACTAAGGGGGAAAATGATAGACTAACTGTCGGGTTTCTCGTGGGTTGCCGTTACTTAGTCGATTACCTACCTCCTTTGTCCATTGCAACAACCCGTTTCCACCAATAGGATCCCTCCAAATCCCTTTTTGTCGTCTTTGTCTATCGCTTTATCTATCAGTTTCAATAATCGGTCCGCAGGTGCTCCGACAAGAATCGATTATTTAACATATAGGTTTAAATGGAGGCAACCCGGTGTTGCCAAACTGCTGGATCCGTCTCTGCGTTAGAAAGAGTATGGATTTAAAAAATTGAAACTGTTGCAAAATGACATGTCTGTTGAATATTGTTTTTTTTTTTACAGAAGAAGAGGAAGAAGAAGAAGAAGAAGAAGAAGAAAGTGATTAAATGAACGAACGTGTCGGTGCGAGTTCGTGAGTGAAAAAGGAGAGAGTTATGATGGGAGTCTTTGATCAAAGAAATCATTACTTACCTGGCCACCAAATTCGATTTTCCCTCCGTTAGTTTGCACCTCTTCGATAGTTTTTTTATACTTGAGGAGAGCATCAGCATTGTGCAAGGGCCCGTACAAAGTTTTTTCATCCAAAGGATCACCAATTCTTTGGACAACTTTCTCGTAAGCTTTGATTAACCTTTCCAAAACTTGCGGGTAAACCTGAACAAGAAGAAGATGAATCCCGGTCAGTCGCAAAAACAAGCAGTGTCAGTAACATTCAAAAGTCAAGGGGCACTTTTATGGTTTGAGGAGTGAGTCTTACCATGTATTTATTGAATAAACTATCCTCGCTTCCCGGTATGTTTGTTGCCTATGCAGCGTAATTTAAGGGGAATCTTAAGTGCACTCTATCTACCAATAGGTTTATGCATTATTATCTATCGGATTTTTCGAGTAACTTACCATTCGCGTTTTCCGGTGGGTTTATTGCCTATGCAACTGAATTGAAGGCGGACTTAATAGGTTCACAAGTCAACGTGGATTATGGGCTCAGTCAGAGCCTATGAAGCGATATATCGTCACTCTCCGGCCAAAGTATCACAAGCGCCATGTGACGTTTCAACATTTTCGCCGCCATTTTTTTTTTTTTTTTTTTTTAACAGAGAAATTGTTCATTGAAACCGTCCGAAAATTTCACTAAATTGTCTTTGTGCTGCTGATACAATTCAGTGAGATTTTCAAACAGATTCAACCAACAATATCTCTGTGGAAAAATAAAATGGCGGCGGAAATTTTGAAACGTCACATGGTCTTTGTGATACTTCGGCCGGGAAGTGACGATATCTATGAGGTTTTCAAATATATCGACGATGTAAGTCGGCAATCACATAACTCGGTTTGCGTACAGGGCCGGATTGACCAACTTGCCGCCCATGGGCCGCCTGCATTTTACCGCCCCCTTATCATTCGTTTGGAAACATCAATAAAAACCATTAAGTGAACGTACTGAAGGGAGAGGGGTGCATTAGACGCGTTCATTCTTGTTGGACACATACTTGCGAAAACCCTGTCAACACTACTAGCAAAAGTTCACAAAACTTTGCGCAAAAGTTAAGTTCCGTATATCTATCTCTGTGTGAACGAGGCCTTCCATTTGAAGAAATGAACGAAAAAATTATGAAAGAACAAACATAAATGTGATTTAATAATTTTAACTTCCGCCTCCGCGCCTCGCTGACCGCAATAGGTTTGGCGCAATGCGTGAAGTATTCATGCAGATTTGTAGGCGCTATGCGTTTCTCGCCGACCGCTGCTGACCGCATCGTGTTTGACGCAATGCGTGAAGTATTCATGCAGTCTTGTAGGCGCTATGCGTTTCACGCTGACCGCACTTTGTTTGACGCAATGAGTGAAGTATTCATGCAGTCTTGTAGGCGCTGAAATGTGTTACATGCCGACCGCCGCGCCGAGGGTTTCGGTTTCTCCTTTTCATCTCAAGTCCTCGTCATCATTGCTTTTTGCGCCGCGCCAATCCAGGCCAAATTGCGTGTTTGGTTTCTCTCTTAACTGGACTAATTAAAGGTGCTGTCTCTTGTATCACCGAAAGACGACAAAATTAAAAATTACTATACTCTCATGAAATGAGAGATTTTGTCACCTTTTCTCGTCTGTAACTTTTTTTCTGAATCCGATTTTTTTTTTATAGGTACCTATATTTAAAACAATCACAACATTTGCCGCCCCCTTTTTGCCGCCATGGGCCGGGCCCATGTGGCCATCCCCTAGATCCGGCCCTGTTTGCGTAGTCGCAGACTTCCTATTGACCTTTATTTTTTAGACGGAAAACTACTCAACGGCGATTCTTTAAAACTGCCGTGATTTTCTTCTCTGTGCGAAGAAAATTCTGCAAAAACCTCAAAAAATGATGTCAATTTGCTCTCCTTTAGAAAATAACGTAGAGACGGAGATTTTCAGATACCGCAAAGGAGAAATGTGATTGCGGACTTACGCCGTCGATACATATTTTTTTCGCTTTAATACCTAACGCTCTCAGTAATTTTTTTGCTTATGCGCTGAAATGGAGATGTTGCATGGGTGAGGAATTTGCGATTTGACCGTTAATTCTTGTGTGAAAGTTCGCGAGAAACACGATGGTGCCACTGGTTTTCTCTGAAATCATCTCCCAAGCTCAAAAAAGGCTCTCAAGTTGACGTCAAAATGGAGGGGATATCCCACGCTATCCTGAGAGTCCACCTCTAAGTACATCAAAACAAACTCTCCATGCAAATATAGGGAGCAAATACATTGACAGGGCTGCCACTTTATTTGGGGACTCCAAAACTGAAAACACGGCAACCCTGCTAATGTATTTTCTCCCTATCTTTGCATGGAAAGTTTGTCTTGATGTAGAGGTGGACTCTCAGCATAGCGTGGGATATCCCCGTCATTTTGGCCTCAACTTTAGAACTTTTTTTGAGCTTGGGAGTTGATTTCAGAGAAAACCAGTGGCACCATCGTGTTCCTCGCGAACTTTCACAAAAGAATCAACATTCAAATCGCAAATTCCTCACACATGCAACATCTCCATTGAAGGCAAGCCAAATAAACGTTCTTCACATGCTTGCGAATGAATGTCGATGAGAGAGCATAATACCTTTTTGTGAACGATGAGTCGTCTGGTAGTGGTGCATCGTTGACCAGCTGTGCCAGCACAGGCAAAGACGGCCGACTGAATTACCATATCGATGTCGGCATCTTCTGCTACAATTATTGCATTGTTACCACCGAGCTCCAGGATGGATCGCCCGAACCGTTGTTGAACTTCCACGCCGACCTGATTAAAAAAAAAAAAATAGTAAAACCTAAAAAGATCAGCTGAGAAATTCATGGTTCATGATGAGAAAATTGATTCATATTTCCGAGAAAACATTTAGCAATAAAGAATTACTATATCGCGATGGTGAAACTACCGAAGCACGTATCTCTGTTTGCGACGTCGTAGACTTCCTGTCATACTTTATTTTTTAAACAGAAAACCACTCAACGTAAATTCTTGAAAACTTCTGTGTTTTTCCTCTTCGTGCGGAGAAATTTCTGTGAAAATTTCAAGGAATGATATTGATTTGTTCTACTTCAAAAAAAATAAAATGTGAGCGTAGATTTTGAAATACCGCAAACAAGATACGTGGTCTGTTAGTTTCACAGTAATTTTTTTTTAATTTATTTATTAAATTATTTTAATTTACAAGGTGACACGATTATTCAAAATGCATACGGGGTAGCTATACTTATTTGACGGAACTTAACTTAATAAAACCCCGGGACCGCCTGAGGGAGGGCACTACATCGGGGGTCAATATGTATAACTGGCTAATTTTAGAATCGACATAGGTACAGGCCCGGACTTAGGGCGTGTGCAGGGCGTGCGGCGCACACGGGCGCCAGCCTTTGGGGAGCGCCACGAAAGAAGAAGAGAGGGAAAAAAGGGGGGAAAGGAAAAGGGAAAAAAGGGAAGAAAGGACAAGGGGAAAAAAGGAAAAGGAAACAAGGTTGGGCAGTGAAAGCAAGGAAGAAGGGGGGAAATGGAAGGAAAAAGGAGGCAAGAAAAGTGAAAAGAGAGTCCTCGAGAAAGGGGGGGGGGGCATAAAAAACATAGACAAAATATAAAGAGAATTGCCGTCTAAAGGTAAATTTTCAGGACAAAAACTCCACCTGGTCCATAGACGGTCAGGCGCCCCTTGAGCCTAAATTTGCGGCTGTACAGAAATACAAGAGTAGGCATGTAGTAAGGGGGCGCCATAAATCCATCGAACAGGAGCCGACATAGCATTTTAGACCAGGTCCTCCATCTTGGATTTGAGAATTTTTAAACATAGTTAAAATTCGAGTTTCCAGTCGAAAAATACCCTCAGACACCGAGTTTCAAAAAAATCCATCGAACAGGAGCCAACGTAGCATTTTAGGCCACGTCCGCCATCTTGGATTTGAGAATTTTCAAAAATCGACTAAAAATTGGAGTTTTCCGTCGAAAAGTACCCCTGATCTCGCGGTTCACAAAGCTCTAACGAACAGAAACGGAGGCCAGAACTGGGGCTCATTTTAGGTCACATCCAACATTTTGGAGTTGAGAATTTTAAAAAGTTGACTAAAAATTCGAGTTTTCCGTTGAAAAATACCGTGAGATACCGCGTTTCACAAGACTCGAACAAACAGAAACCGAGATAGCATTTTAGCCCACGTCCGCCATCTTGAATTTGAGAATTTTAAAAAATGAACTAAAAATTCGAGTTTCCTGTCGAAAAATACCTCCTGACACCGAATTTCAGAAAAATCTATCGAACAAGGGCCGAGGTAGCATTTTAAACCATTTCGGATTTTCGAGTCTTGAATTTTTTTAATTTTGACAGATTTTGATTTAAAACGCGTGATTCTCAAAATCGAAGCTCAGATTCGGATTCCTCGTAAAAAATCGATGCGATTTAATGTATCATACCCTGACACCGAATTTCAGGAAAATCCATCGAACAGGAGCCGAGATGGCATTTTAAGCCACGTCAGTCATTTCAGATTTTCGAATTTGGAAAATTTGACTTAAAACGCGTGATACCCAAAATCGAAGTTCAGATTCGGATTCCTCGTTAAAAATTGATACAATTTCATGTATCATACCCGAGCATAGCGTGAAGGAAAGAGACGTAACGTAGACATACTGATTCGAGCATATGAATCCAACGTGGCAACATGGGTAGTGCTCAGTGGGTCAGCGGAGGAGGAAGAATAAGAATTTATCGTGAGGAATTCCTCGGGACGAAACCGAACGCTAAGCGCCGCGGCGGCGTAGTTCAAAGGGAAAGTATGACAGAATCTACACGCGTCGTTAAACCTTTTTCCTTCACGCTATTTTAACATATGATACATGAAATCTCATCAATTTTTCACGAGAAATCCGACTCTGAGCTTAGATTTTGGATATTACGCGTTTTAATCTATTTAAAATCGTAAGAGAATTTACAGAATTGTCCTTGAAAATTGATCACACATTAGTGTTTTTTTACGTCATTAAACCTCTTTCCTTCACGCTATTTTAAAATTTGATGCATGAAATCGCATCAGTTTTTCACGAGGAATCCGAATCTGAGCTTAGATTTTGGATATTACGCGTTTTAATCTATTTAAAATCGTAGGAGAAATTACAGAATTGTCCTTGAAAATTAATCACACGTGGGTACGTAAGTGATTTTTTACCCCGTTTTTCTTCTACGTTCACGTAATGAAATTAGATCAACAGTTGACTCATCGACTAGTCTAGCCTAACTCCCCAGAATCGGTCTAAAAGGCGAACGATTTTATCAGATAAGGTGTGCGGTCCTAGTTTCCGGGCAATTGCGGTTTGATGGAAGCTGCGATGAGGAGAAACGGAAGATATGCGAAACTCGGGCGGATATTATGTGAGAAACCAGGTAGGGGAAAGGCTTTCCCTCCGAAAATTTAGTGCTCGGGCCAACTTACATGGTCACTGGAGCATTGTATAGCAGGTTGTGGGAAACTATTTTTTTGCAGCAACAACCAATTGGATCGCATTTTGCAAAAAGGAACTAAGAGTATTTCAATGTTGCTGGGATTGTGCAACTTAGGTACATTCTTTGCAAAAAGTAAACTTTGCGACGGTAATTTTCGTCTCGAATTCATAGTTTATTGGGAGTAGAGGTGAAACTAGTTTAGATGTTCGTTTATGTTTGCAAGGTTAGCGACATTGGAATGCTCTTGCATAGGTATCAACGATGAGACTGCAGAAGCGTGTACCTTGTTCGGTGCTGGAGCTAGACATTTCGTCGTTTCCCGAACGAAGGAACGTAACGCCATTCCAAGGTTGTAAAATTGATTCAAATAGTTCAAATATCTACGCGAATATACCCGTGCAATTTTTTCCAATATTTTTGTAATTTTTGCACGGGATCGGAGGAAATATCTGTGATTTTTGCAGCTAGATTGTACCTAAGATTCTCCTGGAAAAATTACAATTTGCAAAGGTAAATTTGACAACATTGATATGTAATTACGTTTTTTCGTGAGGATACGGCGCGGTGATCCCTTTGTGATGGATCTTTACTATCTTTACCCTCTTGCCTTGCAGAAAGCCCCGAGATGTGGCCATGGTGCTGAAGGCGCCAAAATAAATGAGAAATAATGATATATTGTTGACGCATATGGAACGCCTTCATTGTGAAAAGATACTTCCTAGCAAAGTCCCAGAGGCCCAATAGTTGCATCATTCCAAAGTCCAGTCAACATCTAAGCAGTGTAGATTGGCGAGTTCTGCGGTTACTTGAGATAATCCTTTAATTCAGAATGACGACGCGTAAAAAAACGCCTTCATTGGGAAAAGATACTTCCTTGCGTCGTCTCAGAGGACGAATAACTGCATCATTTCAAAACCCATCAACAGTGTAGTGGCGTAGATCCTGAAGTAATGCGGTTGCTTGGGATAATTCTTTAATGCAGAATAGCGACGCGTAAAAAACTCCTTCATGGGGAAAAGATACTTCCTAGCGTGGCTTCAAAGGCCGAATAGTTGTATCATTCAAAAACCCATTAACGGTGTAGTGGCGCAGACCAGTGAATAATGCGGTTGCTTCAGATAACTTTTCGATGAACCGTGACGACGCATAAGTAAGTAAACCCTTCATCGTGAAATGATACTTCCGACGAAAAATTCAATCCTTTAAAAGCTTCGACGGATTCATGGTGAAAATCATTGAAAACAAAGTACAAATTATCACGACCCCCACCTGCTGTCCAACTTTACAACTGCCAGTGAATGATACCAAAGGAATCCTCTTGTCCCTCGCGATTGCCTGGCCGATTTCGGAACCTCCTAAACATAGAGACGCAATACCGCCTGGTAAATTGTTCTTCTCGAGGACTTTCGACACGATTTTGGTAGTGGCTATGGAGCATAATGGAGTGCTTGGCGCTCCTTTCCAAAGTAAAGTATCCCCACAAACCTGGAATGTCAGAGAAAAAATGGTCATCCACCTCATTCAACTTCATCAGTATTTTCTGAGTGTTAAGATTTATTTGAGGAGTGAGTGCAATGATGCCCTCAACTCAATGACATTCTCACGTTCTCCCGTACCCTCTCAAGTGAAGATTATTATCGATATCTAAAGTTGAATAGTGCATATCTCCATTGTAACGTTTAAACATTAATGAATGTGTTCTTTTTATTTCTAGCAGAGATCTAATCAGAACGTTTTAAGATGAGTAGTATAAAAAAATTAAGTACAGAAAATTGCAAGGAAAACTGTTGTTTCGCGTTCATCAATATCAATAAAATAAGAACGGAGATTTATCCACCTTTCTGTACGCATTTTTCAACTTTAGCCACCGATACTTCAGTGAGCATATTGGATCTTGTTTGTATGAAAGGAGAGAATTTAGTCTTCTCGTCTTTCTCTTCGGCAACAGGTATAGTTCAGTCGTATGATAGAGATCTACTTAAAGAAAGTGTTACTGTTAACGAAGCAGTTTCTGCTTAATCGCATTAGGTACAAAACTCTTTTATCATTAGAAATTAAGAATCATGCAAAGCAGAAAATGGGAAACGTTAACTCGAATTTTTCCCTACTGTACACTGGAAAAAAAAAACACATTGGATCTAGAGCCCAGACTCTTGAAAACATTGACAAGAAAAAATACTCTTGATTCAATCGGATTTTTGCTTGAATCAAAACGAAATCCGCTTAAATTAAGAGGCTTGGTTCTTGATTTAAGCTAGATTCTGATTGAATCAAGAGTACTTTTTCTTGTTGATGTTTTTAAGAGTCTGGACTCTAGATCCAATGCGTCTTTTTTCCAGTGTAAGACTTTTTTCTTTCTCTTTTTCTGTTTATAAAGAAAACCCTTCTTTTTAACGAAGATATTCCATACATATTATATTTATTTTTATGCTGAAATCTTACCATTGCAATAGCACTGTTCCAACCGTAGACGGCGACGGGGAAGTTAAAGGCTGAGATGACACCTACAACACCAAGAGGATTCCACTGTTCCAGCAATGCATGATCGGGTCTCTCTGATGGGAGAATCTGACCGGACAAACTTCTAGACAAGCCCACCGCATAATCACAGATATCTACATATTCTTGAACTTCACCGATTCCTTCAGGCAGTATCTTCCCTATGAAGCAGATAGTTAACAGTTACCCAATACCTTGGTATTAAGCAGGGTTTAAAAAATATCTCATCTTTTTGATCAACATCATTTTTAGTAGACATACCGAAATGGATCAGAGCTATCCATAAATCTTGTGATGTTTTCCATAATATTTTATACGCCCTTCCCTTTTACATGAAAACTTATTTTTCTTACAGTGCACTTGAAATCGTTTGAGTAAAAAAAATCTGTTGAAATCAGAAACGATAAATTAACCCATATAATAAACCACTAGACGAGGTACGAATTTAATCATTCTTTCATTATACAGGGATGTTGTAGGCCACTGTCATGGTTTCTGAGACGCGGGAGTAAGTCTGTCGGTATCGGTTCAGGTTCAAACACTAGAGAGATTTTCACGTGTATGTTTCTGCTTCAAAAGTTGCGGCATTGCAACCTTAACGTTAATGTGCGATTTTATTCAAGTACATAGATCATGGCTTATTTTATGACATACAAATTTATGCATGAAAAACGTTAATATCTCAATTAGGCGTTACTCACAGTAATTTTTGTTGCAAAAATCGCATTTACCGTACAATTTTGAAAAGAAATTTGCATCTGGTATAATAATCTTTTCACCTAACTTTTTCGATATTTTTTATATATTTTTTTTAAACAAATGAGGGAAAACGAATTGATAAGGGTCAATAAAATTATTTAAAAGCCACCATCTTCTTCACGTTCATGTTTATGGATCACTAATGCAAAGTTCTAGCGACAACCCCCATTGACACGCCGCGCGCCGCGCGGCTCACATTGATGCGCTTGAGCGAGCCGAGCGGACGCGGTCGAGAGACCAAAAACGCCTACATTTTTGCGTATCTGCAACACGCACTTCCATAGAATACGAATAGTTGTATCCAAACGCCGGTGCAAGGCGAGCGATCATGAGCATCGAGTATGCGACATTGATATTGGTAAGCCCTGGATAGACGATCAAATTCCGAACCAATTCCGATCAAAGTAGACATGCTGATGACTGATGGTCACCATCTACCATCAAATTTTGACGGGCCGCACTTATTTGTTCAAAGTAAGATTAGAATGGAGTGCCACCATTCATCATTTCCTGCCACAGGAAACATTTCTGCCAAGTTTTCATTTTAAAATGAAGCAAATTAATGAGTTTAAGACTGATGACTCCCGACACTTTGATGCTACTTTGATCGGAATTAGTTCGGGAATTTGATCGTCTATCCAGGGCTGTACGATCTTACCCATCTCTAGAGAAACTAGTTTTCCGAGAGGAACGATCTTCTCGCGCAACGCGTTTCCTATTTGTCTGACGATTTCTCCTCTTCGCGGAGCCGGCAAATCGGCCCAGAGCTTCCATGCCTCGGAGGCGGCTGCGACGCAGTTGTCCAAATCCTTCAGCGATCCTTCGCGAACACTGGCGATTGGAGTTCTGCTGGCTGGACTGTACGAGTTCAGAACCTGAAATATGCGATAGTGAACAATTCATCAAAATTACACTTAAAATAACCTATAGTGAGCGTGGGTGCTCAGTACTCAGACTCACATGGCTAAAAATTGGACTGCATTTTGCAATTTGGAACTGTAGATTCTGGCTCATCTGAAAAAACACTTATGTGCATAGGGAAACCAATGGCACATACGTTGTTTTTAAACTGGGCCAGAATCTATGGTTCCAAATTTCCGGATAATCAATTATTGATTATCCGCTCGTCCTGACTATCCGAAATCACGTGTATTTAATAAGCAAAGCTGCGATTTCCAGTCTAGTCTCTTATGTGTTTTGGTCTTTAGTTTTGGCTTTGTTGGTTATATTAGCATAATGGGGTTCTAAAATTAGGGTTGCCATAGTTTCAGCGAGATTAAATTTGTAGGTTTTCACAAATTTCACCTCATTCACCATATGATTATGGTCTAGATACTGTCTACTGATATCTATGTATCTGATTCTGCATGAGAGCGTGTTTTGGTGCGTTTCAAATCGTGCCACTAATGAAAATAATGGACGATCCAGCTCTACTCTGCGCATGCTATGGAAAAATGCTGTATAAGCTTTCAGGAGTTGCCAAATTTCCCCTGAAAACATTGATTTTTGAGGAGAGCTATGGATGGATATTTCTCCTTGCAATTTCCCCTTACTTCAGATAAAATGCGAATATTTTTTCTGAAAAATCAGAGGGAAAGTGTTCATTTCCCCTAAAAGTTTGTGATTTATCAAAAGAAATTTTGGCAACGCCTGAAAGCTCATACGTCGTACTTTCTCTGATTTCTAATGCAACGATAGATCCCAAAATACATTGAGTAACTAGACTAGTCCAATTTTTGAATTGTTGATCACCTCTTTGCATAAGACGGGCAGTTTGAGCCCAAAAGACGATTTCGCCGGGTTTTGTAAAAGACCAAATGAATTTCACTCAACTATGGATCACTTTAATAAGTGCACAGATATGTGCGCTATTACAGTACACCGAGCAGTGGCACTGCAATGTAAAACGCTGAGCCTCGTTGGAGCCCGTAAAATACGGAGGAGTTGTCAGCTCTGATGACTTCAGCATCTGCAAAATGCTAATTTTCCTTCCAGCCGGCTGTTATGCAACCATGCATGACATCCATGTCGAAAGAATTGCCGCTCAAAATTCTGGAACGGCGCATAGGAACTAAATGTCACCGTGTTTTGACGAAACAAGAAGTTACTTAATTATCTTGGTAAAAATTAGAGGACCGCAGTTCCACGCGGTAAAAATTTTATTATATTCAGCCTGAGGTCGGATAGTTCTCATTTCTAATCAACGGAAAACATGATCAAACCTGTCCATTGGCGTCCCATTTTCCGTGATACACTCCGGAATTTTCTTCTGTGAGATCAAGCTGCTTCAGAAAGCTGTATTCTGGGTTATTTATTAAAAAGTCCTTGGGGTCCGTTGAGAAAAGTTTAGAAACTTGCAGCAAGACTTGCTGTCTACTACCTTTGACCGACCACTTCGTAAAAAGTCCCACCGTTGCACTCATGACGACCGTTTTTTATGGCTCCGTTTGGTAAAAGTAAACGCACCATACGAAAATCAACACAGAAAACACAAACAATATCCGGTAGTTGTTGCGGTGCTTTTCATTTGAGCGGCCTGCGTAGGCCGATCCTACGGTGCGAGTGAAACTAAGCTGCTGACAATGAGATGCGCTAGCCTTTTCTCGAGTTCAGACAAACTGGGCAAGGTTTATCATAGAGATAAGCGGCAAACAGCCTTTAGCTACAGTTGTCTCATCATGTTCGTAATCATCGTTCAATAATTATCGATCGGCCGCTAAACATATTTACCGTAACACCGACTGCTTTCTCTTTCCATTTCTTGTTTGTCGATACCACCTGATTTCCCTCACGGTTTCCCAACATACTCAGAAAAGATTTTTGCATCGGATCGCTCGGTCATTCAGACGTTTAACGTTTAAATCTTTGACTTAAAATTAGTCTATCCCAAAATTTAATTAAGATTCCAGGCAAAATTTTCTGATTATTCAATAATCAGTGGATGATTACAGATTTTAAGGAAAAAGAACTACTCGATAACTAATCGATATGCTGACAGGTCATATTAATTTTAAAACGCATGGGGTGGTCACGAGCTCGCTTCATTACCTACTTTGCAGATAAGACTACTGCAATTATGACGACTCACGGATGAAATTCATTGGAATACACTTCGCAATAAGAAATTATTCCTGACTCATCTGTGAAAGTACTTATCTGCTTTGGGAAATTAAAGGCACGAATGTTGTTTCTAAAATGAGCCAAAAATAGAACAAGATAGTTGTACCTTTTTTTTACTTGAGCTATAGACCTAAAATATTTTGTTCTTGACTAAGGAACAAGCTGAAGCTACTTAATGTGGAACGTAAGCATTTGTTTTCTGTACACGCAATCTTCCTCTGATTTTTTAGTCGTTTTGCTCCTGTTTTCTGATTGTGTCCGGTTTTCCTTAATTTATTTCTCCCCCTTGACTTTTCAAGGATATTCCTGACTGTTGCAACTCTGAATATGCCAGAAACATCAGTTTTACGCCTGCAGGAGAAGTCCGAGACTTGGAGGACACGAGCGACTAATCGTATAGTTTAAAATGCAGAATACGGGGAAGGACTATAATGAACGCGTGGAGCGATTAAATGAAAGTTAATTAATAATAATCGGATTAAGTCGCAGGGTCTTTCTTGAAAAAATATGTACAGCCTCACCCGTGATTGTAGGCTTTCAACACTTTTTAAATGCGTCAGTCCCTGACCCTAGTTTGCCGCGTTAGACTTAGACAAGCAACTAAACTAACTCCGTGACAGTGCGTAGAGTATCACAAAAATTGAAGGCGCCCCAGGCCGCGATCGTGCTGCAGTGACTGCATGCCGCTGGAATCAAGTCTATTTTAACTTGCCGCGCGAACGTTTTCCTCGACGAGTTCTACCGTGCCAAGGCAGAACGCCGTATGAACCTTCAGACGTTGCCAAATTTCCTTCAACAAATCACGAATTTACGGGCAAATTTGTAAATATTTATCTTTCAATTTTGCAGAGAATTTTGTTTCTAATTTGATCTAAAAGCTCTGAAAATTTTAAGGAAAAATATTCAAAACTTACTTTAAAAATAAATACTTTCTGCGAGGGAATTTGGCAACATGCGAATGCTCATACGGCGTTTTTCCTTAGCACGGCAGAGTTGCCGTGCTCTCTTCTCGATGTCGCCGTTCCCGTCCTTTCCTCGGTTGGCGGTGGGCGCGCCTGTCCTTCCAGAATTTCTCCTGGTCCTTGATTTCGTCGGGGATCATGCCTTTGGGTATGTCAGCTGAATGTGAATGCGGTCGGCCGGACCGGAGTAGAGCGGCCTCAGCATAAGTCTGGCTCTCTCACTTGCCCGGACATCCAGAGGAATGAGACACGGCGGAGAAAGGGAAATATTTAATATGGGGGATAAAAAAGAGAGAAAGCCCTGTAAAAACCGTCATATGAGGCCCCATGGGGCAGCTGGAGTGAGCTTCAAAGTACTTACTCAGATCCGACATTGTTACTGTGGGTTTGCATAATCGTCTCTCTGAAGGGGATTTTTGCGAGCTATATGTTTCGAAGTACCCTTGACATCATTTCATGCTCGCTAGTGCTCTTTTCTCAAATTTATCGTGTCGCTTCATAAACAGAGGAGCAGCTCAATTTTTAAAAAATAAATAAGTAAATAAATAAATAAAAGTTACGTATCCTTGAAAAAAAAGCAAACTGAAATGTCAATAAAAATACACTCCTGGCAAATACTTGCATGGAGTTAAAATTGGAATTCTTATTTAAATTAATCAGATATCGACGGTAAAACTACCAAACCACGTATCTCGTTTGCGGTGTTTAAAAATCTACGCTCGCATTTTATTTTTTTGAGGTAGACCAAATCAATATCATTCCTTGAAATTTTCACGGAATTTTCTTCGCACAAAAAGGAAAAATCACAGAAATTTTCAAGATTGGACGTTAAGTAGTTTTTCATTTAAAAAATAAAGTATGACAGGAAGTCTGCGACGTCGCAAACCGAGATACGTGGTTTGGTAGTTTCACCGTCGATATGCTTAAATCAGAAGCATCCGAGGCAAAATGTTACTCGATTCCATATGTAAGTACCTAACATAATACCTACGTCATTGAAACAATTGCGCGATAGGTACAAGTTTTCTTGTGCAATTTTGTCTGTTACACCAGTTTCGTCGACTCGCAAAGCTTCGTCAAGTTTTGTCGGTTGGCGAAACCCAAAACGTTATCATTTTTGTCGGTTGGTGAAACGTTATCTAAGGATTGACGTGGTTCCCTCGAAATTTTTTCACTGTATCGTTTTGCACGTTCACACGAAACCAAAAATGAAAAAGAAGAAGAAAAATGAGGGAGAAAAATGATAAGAATTGCTGTACCGCCGGAGGCCAGACATCATCTTGCCGCTTGCCAATTCAAAATTGTAAATGATAAGCAAGGGCCTTAAAATAAAAGGCGAGAAAAATTTAACCGTCAATTATTCTAAGACCAGTGAATATATCCTCCCGGTTCCATCAGGATAAAAATTGTGTGAAAAGTTAAGTGCGTGACGAATCAACGGAAAGCAGACTAGCGTGATCCTTTTGCCCTTATACCCACTTTAATCTCTGTGTTCGGTTTTCGTCTGAGCTTTCATTAAAAATGAAATCTTTACTTTTCTTCGGACTAACTTGCTTCCTTCATTTCACTTTGGCTCATCATCTTCACGATAAACATCCGAACAATCCAGATCATCCTCAACGTGCGCTTCACGATTTGTTTGTCAGTTGCTCTACTTGCGAAATAAAGTGGGTTGCCTCTCCGCTAGTTGCATTTAGACCCTCTTATCAGAATAATAGAATTTGTAGATCTACAGACGGGTGGATTGTAGGGATGTTGTTCTCCGATCCTTCAACTGGTCGAATGTACTGTCGGATTGCAGATAATGGAAAAGAGTTACGGAAAAACAACTTCGAGGTCCTCACGGTTAATGGAATGGAAATTAGGCGTCAGTCAGAAGGACCTGTTCGTGCTTTTACTCAGGATGAAAACCAGAATGTAAAAACAGAGGGACATTGTTCAAGGACTAGATTAAAGGAGCTCATAGAAAAGTTCATGGAACACCACGATAGAAAACATGGGTAGGTACTGAAATAAGTGACAAAAACAAGGATTTTAATCTTTTTTGAAGGCGTAATACTTGAGTGGCTACTGTTTAGTAAGCGAAAAACTATATAACTATAAACTATACTATATCCTTCTTGTGTGTATTCGTATTAAATAAATATTTGTCTCACTATGATTTTTGCTCAAATCGAGTTTTCTTTTTTGATAGTTCTTTTACCTTGAGTATTTGTTTTAAGGAAATTAAAAATTTCGACATTTAAGTTCCCTTCGTTTAAAACGAATTCCTCATCTTGAAAACTTGAAAATTCTCAAAACAAATACCCTGAAACTAAAACTTTTGAATTTTCTTCTTCAAAATCTTGAATAAATACCTATGCAATCTTATACGATTTTTTTTTGTTAAAATTGCAGTTGATATGTTTTTTTATGAGTGAGATACTGAGGTAAGTTTACCCTGGCTTCCCTGAAAAGTATTTAAGGGAAAAAGGTATTAAGCGCGAGGGTCCAATGGACAAACAACGCATTTCCTGGAACGCGAGTTCAGAAAGACCCTGTCAAAAAGTGCCCCATTTGGAAACGCAGGGATTTCCTTCAAATTCGGCCTACAAATAAGAGCTTGAACATTTTCCAGACAATTCGCATTTAATCGAAGGTTTGGCAACACTTGCGTGTTCATACGGCGTTTTTTCTTAATCATTCAGTGATAATATCCGAGAATGAGACAATGATTTCGATAATAACGCCTCGATGCAATGCAATTAGGTATTCGTGCTCTATGGACATCCGTGATGCATACTGAAAATTGAAGGCGCTCTGATTGTTTAAGCCCATGAAGCAGGACTTGTAGCGACACTCTCTCGGCCTTAGTATGGAGTTGGGATATAATATCATGATTTCTTGATGTGTGAAACTGATTAAAAAATACTCTCTGCTATCCTATCTCCTTAGTTTCAATCAGAAAATTTCGCATTGCCACACATTCGGTACGGCACTCCAGACGCTGCTGCGTGCAATGCCTCATGGACAAGAAGGGTGATCTAAGCGCCTTCAATTTTTTTAAATGCAACACGCGTGTCCAGCTGTATCAAGGCGTTATCAACATCATTGACTACGCTGCATACATGTTGACTAAGATATCAACATGAGAAGCTCCATCCCATCTTATTCTACCCGAGGGTTGTTTAAAAATTAATTTGAAAAATGTGCTCAATACAAAATGCTAATATTTTCAAATAAAGACACTTTAATCGCGATCTTTGTCTCTTTTTTGGGGCACAAATTCACTAGTTGAAGTTACTCAAGACTTAAGACTGCCGTTGAAACTATAATCTAGCAATGTGTGTGATAAAGCATTGCAAAGTTTATACAAGGTGTTCTAGACCACCCGCGCTAGCCTTCCTCCCGGTTATTTTAGGTTATTTCAGGTACCTAGGGAAGTTATATCGATGGTGAAAATGCAGAAGTGCGGATCTCGGAAAGACGGAAAACACGATTTTCCAGAAGAGTAAAAAAACTGTCTACATCCCTCTTTATTGTTAGTAGAAGGGTAATAATTCTTGAAGACTTGAAGATAGCGAGAGTAAGATGTTTTTTCAGACTCCATCAGCACTTTGAATAATTTCTCGAACTGTCGGAAAATACGGCAGAAATGCCGAGATTCGCGTTTTCGGCACTGAGAATTAACACTTCATCAGGAGATACGCATTTTTGCAATTAGTGTTTTAAACTTGTTGGTGGATTTTTGGATCATTTAAAGACTGAAAAAAGGGTTTCACACTTAAAATTCCTTATCGGATAAGATTTAGTTTGATCTCATGATAATACAATAGGTAGACTGTTTTATACAACGACAGTTGTATTATAGAGTCAAACAAGTCATGCAATGCTTCATCTAAAGGTCAAAAGTGTGATTTTCTCATTTGAGAGAGGTCCCTAGTTGCCTAACTGCGGGATGGTTCGGTAATTTTCATTTGGTCATATATTATAGCCGACAAATGCATTTCCGCGCATCGGCCTGTTACTCCTTCATTAAACTAATGTAACTTATTGTTTCAAAATTTCGATCGCTTTGTGCTGTCTCTACATATCGACGGTGAAAGTCGGCAATCACATAACTCGGTTTGCGACGTCGCAGACTTCCTGTCATACTTTATTTTTTAAACGGAAAACTACTCAACGGTAATTCTTTAAAACTGCCGTGATTTTTCTTCTATGTGCGAGGAAAATTCTGCAAAAACTTCAAGGAATCATGTCCATTTGTTCTCCTTTAAAAAAATAACACAGTTGCGGAGATTTTCAGACACCGCAAACGAGTTATGTGATTGCCGACTTGCACCGTCGATATACTTCACATTGACTTTAATTTTAGACATATTCGTTATTTCCCCACTTGAACCAATTGGCAAATAGTGCGCACATATATTCCAACATGATTGATATGAGTCGCGCCCTAGCGGATACTTCTAGTGTATTGGAGATTGGCGGGACCCTTCGATACTTAGGGGGGCATCCTCGGGGGTTGGGTTCCTTGGTTGTCAGGTGGGGCAGCCCCGGGGGTTGGTCTCCTTGGATGTCGAAGGGGGCAGCCCCTCGGGGTTGGACTACTTGAATACCAGGGGGGCAGCCCCGAGGGTTGGATTGCTTGGATGTCAGGTGGGACAGCCCCGGGGGTTGGGCTCCTGAGATGCCAAAGGGGGCACCCCGATGGGTTGGGCGTCGTGGATGCCNGGGGGGGGGGGGGACCCGAGTGTTGGGTTCCTTGGATGTCAGGTGGGGTAGCCCCTGGCGGATCCGGCTCCTTGGATGCGAGGTGGGGCACCCCCGATGGTTTTGCTCCCTAAAAATTACGTATCTTATGGCTGAAATTTGTACTTACTGCCTGGGCCAATGATTTGCCTTCAGTTAGCCGGCTATGCAAAATGTTTGTCGTGACGCACGAATAGTGGTATCAGAGTTTAGCATTAAGATTACGGAGTGGGTTGAAGGCGCTCTTCTGTATCCTACGTGAGGGGCCCGATACAATGATGCTGACCAAAAATATTCATAAATTCATAATTATGCTCATATAAATAATGCTCATAATTTCGGAGTCTTCAATCGAGCCGTAATTTTGAAAATTGCCCGAAGAATAATTATTATTTTGATTTGTAAATAGTCAAGTAATACACGGAAAAAAATAAATTGCTGATTCAACAATTCAATTGCTAAAAACAGTGAGTGCAATGTTTCAACGTAGATTTTACAACAAAAAAATGCTACTCTAACCATATTGTAAACTAATTTAACCACGAGGGTGGTTAAAGTAGCATTTTTTTGTTGTAAGATCTACATTGAAACTTTGCACTCACTGTTTTTAGCAATTGAATTGTTGACTCAGCAATTTGATTTTTTTCCGTGATAGTCGTAATAACAGTCGTAGTAATAGTCGTAGTAATAGTCGTACTTGGAAAAAGAGAGCCCAAACACTTGGTTCAGATTGTGGTTTTTAAGTCTTTTGCTTTGGTCATCGCATTCTCATGCAAAACAGGGAGTCGCCGTTTACAAGATCGCAACTTACTCAAAAGCGGTTGTGAATTCAATAAGTTCTCGCGGATAAAACGAGCTTTTGTCGATTAACTGTGAATAATCAAAACTGAAGAAAAGGTACACTGTTCACTAGTCCATTTGAAAGGCGTAAAGCGTGGATGGATGGAGCATGGATGTCCTCCGGGTTTCTACGGGCACTATATACAGGGTTATCCTAAAGTCACCTACCACCCCTGTAACTTTTTTCCTAATTGAGATAGAATTTTGAAACTTTGGCGATGTTCCTCGGTCAAAAGTAGCAACTTTTTGGTCCCCTAAAAATTTTGGGGGGCGGGGGCTAACTTTTTATTTTCAAATAGCAACCCCCCTTTTGTGATACCTTATTCGAAAGATAATTAAAAAAGAAAATGTTTAACGCAAACCGAAGTTTCAAACTTCTATCTAAATTAGGAAAAAAGTTACAGGGGTGGTAGGTGACTTTTAGATAACCCTGTATAACGTGTACATAGATGGCTGTAGGTTTCTGACGGTATATACGCCAAAGTGTTGGAGGAAAAATAGAAAAAAAGTATTACGTATATAATTTTTGAGAGTCCAAGCAGAGACGATATATTCTTGAGACTCCGCACTGTCTTCTTACCTACCTATGGTGTAAAAGTTATTCAAGGAAGTCAATTCTCTGATTCTCTTATTGATGACTCACGGTATTGAAGCAACTAAAGCTTCTAAACAAGTTTTAAGTATGAATAAACTCTATTTTTAATCTTAATGATTAAGAGCAGTTTCAAATCGCTAATAATTGCAGAAATGCGTATATCTCTTGATCAACGGTCATTTTCCAATCATACAACGCTTAATCTGGCCATATGAGATCAAACTAAATCTTATCTGATAAGGAAGTGTAGGCGTGTTTTTTAGTTTTTAAATGATCCAAATCCGCCAACAACAGGTTTAAAACACTGATTGCAAAAATGCCTAATCGTGATGAAGTGTCAATTCTCAGTGCCGAAAACGCGAATCTCGGCATTTCTGCCGTATTTTCCGACAGTTCGAGAAATTATTCAAAGTGCTGATGGAGTCTGAAAAAACATCTTACTCTCGCTATCTTCAAGAATTATTACCCTTCTACTAACAATAAAGAGGAATGTAGATAGTTTTTTTACTCTCCTGGAAAATCGTGTTTTCCGTCTTTCAGAGATCCGCACTTCTGCATTTTCTGCATTTTTTTGCACTCTGTAAACTGTATAGTAGATAGATAAAACAGTAGAACTCTTTTCGCGTACCTCGGGCTTAAACGCAGAAATGCGTACCTATCTCGTTCTGGCACCTTCATTTCATCCGGCGCGCCTTACGCACAACGCCCTCTCCTCAGTATTTCCCGCCTACAGCACACGTAAGCTGATTGGCTGTTCTGTATTTTTACATATTTTCGGGAATTCGCTGGTTTTGAAAAGTTGCAGAATGCTTATCACTGGAAGGCCTCCAAAATCATTTCTTCGTAGGTACCTATTGCTAACACTCTCTTCGGGAAGCACTGCTCTCTCCAAGTAGCACAGATTGTAATTATTGTATTTAGCAAATGGGTGGTTTTTATTGGAGGATTAAGAATAAACAAGTGGTACGGAATATAACAAAATAATATGAACTATGCAAAACGATAATCCGGGTATCGGAACTTGGCTGTTTTGAAAACGCCTTCAAATGCGACGTGATACCTCACGCATTCCGGGGAGTTCAAATAGTTGCATCATTGCGCCGTAAGAATGTGACGGAAGATTCCTTCATGCACGCTGGCCTTTTCGATTTCCGTTCACATTTTTGCAGTCATCAATGCAAAGCTTAAGTGCGCTTCAGCTAGAATTGTATTTAGCAAATGGGTGGTTTTTATACGAGTATTAAGAATAAACAAGTGGTTAGAAATGAAAACAAAATCATATGAACTATGCGAAACGATAATCCGGGTTTTAATTTTTCGATTTTTTCGCGTGTTTTGCTGTCTTTTTTATTAACGATGATCGAAAATGATCCACCCGCACGTTTGCGATCGCAATTGTGATTATTTTCGTTTAGATACTCGTTAAAGTCTTGAAAATTTAGCTTTGAAAGCCAAAACCTATAACCACCGGTCCATTTCCGGAAGAAAGGCGCATAACGGAAAATTATAAAAAATTCCTCCCACAACACTGAAAGAAGTGTAAGTTTTATCAATGGTCGTTATTCATTCTAGGGTGTATGAACGTTGATATGAGTGCCCCAGTTCCGATGTATATGTCATCATCCGTGCCCAGAAAGTAGGAATGAAAACTTCAAATGCGTTTTTCTCACAACTCGTTTTTTCGGTATGTGCCCTTTTTCCGGAAAGCTCCTCAATTACATTGTAAAGTTAGGTATTGTTACTGCATCGGAGTGTAGTGTATGTTGCCTATCCACTGATTGAAGGCACGAATTATTGAAATTTATCGCAATAAAATTGAAGTACGTTGTAATTTTCCTCTGCATTGTACATTGCCTATCTTTCTACCGCATGGGACTCATTTTGTTGATTGTTTAAAATCGGCATTCATTTACCAAATAATGTAAAAAGATTGCAATTTCATGGTAAAAAAATTTCAATTTCATGGTAAAAAAATTTCAATTTTATTGCGATAAATCATTGCACTGTGCTACTTTTTGGGTATTTGATTATATGGCAGCGCGGTTTTGTTCACCTGCATCCAATCGATGAATCTCATCCGCATTCACATCGTGGCTGTCCTTCAGCTGTGGACTGGTTTCGCCAAGCGGACAATGGAGATGTTGCATGTGTGAGGTATTTGCGATTTGACTGTTGATTCTTATGTAAAAGTTCGCGTGAAACACGATGGTGTCACTGGTTTTCTCTGAAATCATCTCCCAAGCTCAAAAAAAGCTCTCAAGTTGAGGCCAAAATGGAGGGGATATCCCACGCTATCCTGAGAGTCCACCTCTACATCAAGACAAACTCTCCATGAAAAGATAGAGAGCAAATACATTGACAGGGCTGCCACTTCATTTGGGGACTCTAAAACTGAAAACACGGCATCACTGCTAATGTATTTGCTCCCTATCTTTGCATGGAGAGTTTGTCTTAATGTAGAGGTGGACTCTCAGGATAGCGTGGGATATCCCCTCCATTTTGGCCTCAACTTGAGAGCTTTTTTTGAGCTTGGGAGTTGATTTCAGAGAAAACCAGTGGCACCATCGTGTTTCTCGCGAACTTTTACATACGAATCCACAGTCAAATCGCAAATTCCTCACCCATGCAACATCTCCATTGCGTTGGTTTTCCTTGAGCCAGTCGACCTGCCAGACGCCCCCGAAGTACCCATCGCGGTAGGTCTGCGGGTCATCGCCAAATCCACTCTTGGCAAACGGTACACGACGCGCTGGAGCTTTCTGCACCGATAAACGGTCAAAAACGAGTATTTTAGACAGTTTGGTGAAAATTCATTGGATGCGCGTTTTTCGCCAATCGCGCACACCACCGGGCTCCTGGAGCATTTCCGGTTATAAAATCGGACTTAGTACGTCATTTCCAGGGGGACTACATCAGTTTTAGCCTGAAGGAAGAACTTTCGACTTTCACCCCAAAAATTTAGTCCATGTAACCCCTGTCGACTAGGAAACCTTACAAAACCAATTTTTAAAACTAGCCTCCTATTAAAATTTCGCCATTTGAATCCCTAAAGTCCTCTCCAAGAAGCTGCAGTGCTTTTTTAAAAAAGATCTGACTGTTTTACAAAGGAGACACTTGGCAAAGTGACTAACTATTTAGTCTCTTAAGTTAAAATAAAGACTGTTAAGTTGACAGAGGAAGGCCAAGTTAACAAAAATAAACAAAATTTATTGAGCTCTTACTATGATACAATTTATCTTTACATCATATTTACATCCATAGATAATAAACGATAAACTTAACTTTGGAACATGAAACCATTTTTCTTTTCAATTTAAAAGAGCACTGTAAAAAAAATCTTTGTATCACAAAGATGAAGGGGAGAAAAGTACAAGAAAAAATGAAATAAATTGATGGGCTATGTTTCTTTTTCCTCCTTTATCGGGTTGTATCAGTATAATACTCACTTTTCCTTTTTCATTCAAATTGGGCGAAAAAGGAAAAGTGAGTATTATATTAAATTGATGGGCCAAAAGAGAAGGTGCAAATTTAAGCCATCTGATACATGATTCCTAACCAAAATTTTGCATTAAACACTATCTACGCAATGAAAATTACTAAAATCAACTCTTAACTAAGATATTGACGATTTTGGTTTTGATCAGGACAAATGAATCAGAATGCCTAAATTTGCACCATGTCCAGTGGTCCATTGTTTTGTAATGAATGGCTTACTTACTTCAAACAAATTATCAGTTTTAAAAAAGTTGATAGTTCAGTTTTAAAGCAGTTAATTCCATTTGGGTATAAAATATTGACAGCTATAACTTCCGACAAAATTGTGTGATGAGGAAGGATTGCAGGGCTGCTAAACCATGAAGTCTGCTGCATATGCTGCTTTTCCAATGAAATATGAGAGGGTTAGTAATGCATGTACAGATGGATAAATTATGATGTTCTCCTCCTTTTCCAGGCATGTGGCAGGAACTGAAAAATAAATGTAAATTGTAGTGTAAAGATTCATGATAATTGAGTCATTTTTTGTAGTAACAACATATAGGGTTTATAATGCTCTTATTATTTCAGTATTTATTACTTACATTTTATTTTTTTCAGGAGGCCAATCTTACAAATTTGCCTGAAATCCGTTACCATTGATTTTTCTTTACACCTGGGAGAAAAACCATTAAAATTTTTAGACTTCGTGCGACGGTTCTCCCATGAAAAAATAAATTTTCCGTAGTAATACTGAAATAGCGCAGATGAGAGACATTCCCTCATCCACAGGATGACAAATTTTTCACCCAAAATCTTCTGTGTTTGCATATTATCCAATAAAAATCATTAGCCTAAAAGTTTGTTTCATTTGCTACAAAGTAAACTCAAAGATGCACAATTTGAGCAACATTTGCAAAGCTGGTACATCGTTTCTACAAAAAGTGGCCCTTCTTTAAAAGCAGCCTTTGGATACTTGATAAATGAAGGTACTGCAATGTTCCAAATCAAGGGCTTTGAAGCATATCATGCTTCCAACAATCATAAAAACTGATGCTGAAACTCTACATAGTAATATGAGGCAAGTAAAAACTCAATTAAGGGGCTTGGAAGACAAGGAGCATAAGTGCAGTTTTTATTATATTGGTAAAAACGAGTTTGAAGTTCTGGATTTTACTCAGACCTACAAAGTGCTCCGAACACCTTCAAAATTTCCAAGTGTTTGTCTCACACATTCATGAACGTCTCCTGAAATTTTCAGCTCAGTTGAGCCAAAGTGAGGCCAGCAGTTGGGCATAAAAAGACGGTAGGTCTCACTTAGCCCGCGTCCGCTCTAAACGAAAAATGCACTTATCCCATTTGCTGTTTTCTCCGCGTCAAATGACTTCTAGACAAAATCGCTTGGTATTCTAATAGACCTTACCTTTAACTACCAAAAACACGCACAACTCAATTTTGATCAAAGAGATGCTTCTGAGCACACAATTTTATTTTTATTTTCATCCTTTCTTTTCCAACACGGACAAACACAAAATGGTCCGGATTTCTGTTTCCCCTTCGCCTTTCCTTCCTGTTTTTATATACCGTGCTTTTAGTAAGGTCCAGTTGATTTTTTGTATCTCACATGTTAAAATACAAGCATAATGAGCTATGGCACGCAGCTGAGGTGGTTGGGCTCTAATCTCAAGCTTTGTATTAGCAATTAAATGAACACAATTTTTAAACTGTGAAGTTGTTTTCCATGCTTACCTAGTTTAACAGATTTTGAACCTGAAGAGAACAGATTTACTTTCCCTGAGACGACTTTGGCTTTTAAATTGATACACTTAATCTTGGCTAACAACTGAAATAAAAAAAAAAAAAAAAACACAGACATAAATTAGGACTTCAGAAAAATCATAAGATGTGGAGTTTTTAGGAACTTACTGTCAAATAATTTTCAATATAATTATACGTTAAAATAATCAAATAATACTGTAAAAATAAACAAGTTTGCGGATCGATTATTGATTCCTTAACTTTTATCATAGAGAAAGAGAATAGTTACATTTTAAGGGGATTATCTCGAATTTTGCAATGCATGCGTCTTACTCTTTGCTCCAAGAAATCCATTGCACAGAGTCACATAGAGAGAAAAAAGTGTGGTAGATAGACTGGTTTTGGACTCAGGTGTTTGGATAAAGGTTATCAAAGTTCTGATATTATTTACCATACTCTAGCAATATAAACGTCAAAGTATAGAAGATGCTGCAAGGACGTAGGTTATCTTCACCTAAAAGTCTGCCAGTGCTTTAAATTATCTCAACCTGTATTTATATTTACTAAGCATTCATTTTCCTATAAACTAAAATGCAAAGTCTTAAATTTTTTTCTGAACCTTCAAGACAAATTTCCAAACCTTTTCCCAACTTCCAGACCAATATATATCCTGTGGACTTAAATCCTGCAGATAACCAATTTGACTGTTTAGACGGAGAGATAGGTAAAAAGAGGAATGTATTAAATATATAATTAATATACAATACTCGGATTAAAGCTACAGCTGTCTCAAAAACACAGTTCGATCAAATCAGAAACACACTGAAAGATAAAAAGGTGGTGCCTTACCTCTATTAGCTCAAAAGTGTAAGCTGGTTCTAAAAGAGGCACAAACTTTTCTTGCAGCGATCGTAAGGAACAGAAAGGTCTCTCCAATGCTCGACTTAGCACAGCCCCCAAGAATCGATCCAGCACACGTCGATTGAGATTCCCGTCAGGTTTTATCCAGGGCCGTATCAAAATTTGAATATGTTTTTTCTCACTATAAAATAAAAAAGAATGAAAATTTTAATTGAGTCACACTGATTGTGACGGACATTTTTTAAGAAACATACTTCTTTTCAGACTGTCTGAAAATTCTGAATAAATTTCTTTAAAAAGATATGTATAATCAGAGATTTTCAAACATTGCAATGGATACTTGTATTTTTTGCACTTAGCCATTGATATATAATTACTGAACGGGCAAAACACATCTGGAGAATGCTCACACATGAAGGTGGTGACAAAAACTACGTCTGAGAAAAGTAGAAGTAGTGCCAGGTGGACCTGCAAGGCGCCGTTCAGGGGCCTAAGCACTAGTATTTCAACTGATGTGTACCTCTACGTTGGACCGTGCTCCTGAACCAGATCTCATGATACAAATCACATTTTCCGAAAAGCTTAGCAGCCATTTGATAAGCCAAAGGTAAGCCGTATTGACAGCTATAGTAGATACTACTGAGCGCTGACATATGGAGCACAAATATATAAAATAACGTACCAAATTGGACTCTGCTCTTTCTATCTCTTACTGCAAGAGACGTTGGCAGTTGCTCACACAAAAAGTGGATTGCATTTTGCAAAAAGGAACCAGGAGTATTCCGATGTCGCTAAGATTCTGCAATTTTTTTTAGCTTGCAAATATAAAAAGATCACCTAAACAAAATCTGGTCTCCTAATAAACTATGAATTCAAGACGAAAATTACCTTTGAAAATTTAATTTTTTTCATGTTCTCAGTGATTTTTTGCAAAGAATTTAAAATGCGCAATCCTAGCAACATTGTAATGCTCTTGGTTCCTTTTTGCAAAATGCAATCCAAGTGTTCAACATTTTTCCGTTAGATAGATTAGAAATTTGGTTGCAAGACACTAATACTGGACTGACTGAAATGGTCAGAATTTTGTAACTTTTCACACCAAGAGAGTAAAACCAAAGGAGGCACTTACTTATCGGTCAGAGTTTTAATCTTCTGCAAATTTTCTGGCTTCGAACTGATCAATTTCCCTACTCTTCTAGCTGGCAGATCTCTGTGTTTCGAAGTAGAGACTGTTGCAGTTTGTTTATTATTTTCCAGCTGACTCAAGCTTGCACTATCCATGGGCTCACTTTTCTCCTTGTCATCAGAAGTTATCAAGGGTTCGTCAACTTCCATCCTTGAAGAATTTTGGATGCCAGGCTCCACATTAGTGACATCTATCACTTTGATGAGATCAGATTCATTTTTTTGAGCCACAACATCCGTGACAACATCCACGTCAAGTTTCTCTCGATCCAACCGAACCATTTGGAATGAGTGGACAAACCATGATCTAGCATGCTTATGATGGATGAAGTGGATTCTATTTGTGCCTGTTCGAACGATGGCATGATTTCTCACCAGAGTTTGTATGATAGAAGCAACACGATCCGAGGTTCCAAACTTCTCCTGAGAAAAATAATAATGTTTAATGTTGATTGAATAATGATTAATTTATTCGTAATTAATATTTTATACACATTTATATTGAGGTGAAAGATTTCTCAGTGAAAATTAAGTGTCCGAGGAAAGGATTATTATAAATGATAAACATGCAAGGTCAAATTTTGGCTTGCTCTGTGAAAATTACAATGAGATTACAATTAATTCAATGATTTGTAGAGCATTTATTTACTAAACTTCCATTTTCAATGGCAACAGATAATTTAATTTGAAATTCAATTACAAATTTTTGACTTGACATGCGTACAAGATTACAACATTGAAAAGCAAATACAATCGGATTTAACATGTTGAGTACTCGATGGTGCCCATTGTCTTGGAACATTTTTTTGAAGGGTCCACTCCAAAAAAAAAAAGGTATGGGCTGAAAAATTTATGTCGTACAAATTTTAAGATTGTTTTTAATGGAAGCCTAACCGGGACCTGAAAAATTGAATATTGTTACAAGAAAAATGTTTTTTCCTGATCATTGTAACAAGTATTGGCTGCAATAAAATAAATCTTGTTGAACAAACACAAAATAATCACACAGTGTGTAATATATGCACGCGTGCAAACGTGAATCGGTAAGGGGTGAGTTTTTCACTAAACTTACTCCAATTTCCGAAGATATTGCACCTGCTTCTTTCCTTGATAAGAGTAGAGCAAGTATTTCTATCGCAATTTCTGCATTGGCTCTTAAGTCAACAATTAGCTGGTCATCTATTTCATCAAAGTGATGATGCACGTGTTTTCTGCAAGGAAATTAATACCAGAAATAAGTCAATTATTGGAAGAGATCGAACGATTGGAAACAAAAAGTTCTAACTTTTGCAATCACTTGATGCTCTCGTGTTTGTAAATTTAATTCTGAATGTGTTCAGCCTTTTTCATTTGAAAGAATTCAGCTTAGCTGAAAATTGTTGAATGAAGTTTAAACTGGAAGAAAAAAAAATGTCAATCAACTCTGAATCTTTTCACTAAATCATGATAATCATCGACGGTGCAACTAGGAAACCGTACGTCTTCAATGCTGTGTTTTGATTTTTCCCCTTTTATCTAATTTCTTTGGGGCAATATCATTAAGAGAGCATTCTGGGGCGTAGTTTGCAAGTAATGTTTTAAAAAGATGAAGAAAAATCACACATTATTTTACAAAACAACAGGCTTCGGCCTGCAATGTCACGAAAAGAGATATTAAGGTGCCGTTGTTTCACCAACAGTAAACATTCCTATTTTGCTGCTTGAATTTACTTACAGTCTGAACTCCTCAAGCACGGCAGCAACCAGGGGTTGAAATTCTACCATACTGACAGATCGGTATGAGCCATCCTCCTCCAGCAAGATTACTTCTGGCTTCTTATCCTCCTTTAACTCCACAGAGAACTGAAAAAAATTAATTATTCGTCAGTTACTTCAGCAGGTACAATTTTGTTTATAGTGCACAGGTTCTACTTCAAAGCTTTTGATTTGACAATTTTGATAATAGGAAGGAAAAGCGCACCCCTTTCAGAAAATTTCTACATTTTAACATCTACCGTAAACAAAAATAAATTATTAAAAAAAACATCTATTTGTTCCCTCTCACCAAGGCAAAATTTTGGCCCTTGATCAACGGATAAATCAGGTCAGTAGTTCAAAGTGGCAGGACATTTCTTGACTTCTTAAATCCATAATATCCATGAAATTAAGCGCCTGATTTCATCTCTCTAAATGTGTAAGAGCACATTTTATTAAAATGACCTGAAAGATCTTTGGCTTCGTTTTTTATTTGTTATACATTTAGAAAATCTTTGTTCCCTCAGTGTCTGACACCCACAAAGACACAAAAGATAGAGGGAAAAAATCATGTTTTTTTTTTTTTTTTTTAATGAAATTACTCGATATATTTCTGCACGCTCCGATGTTGTAGAGTAAAACATTCTCCCTCAATTCTTATTAATGTTTGCAGATGCTTCAGCTTTGTAAATACCCAGACTCTCAGATTAAAGAAAATATATCTTGGAAAAAATGGAATGTTTCAAGGGAGTTGTACCGCTTCTGTGTCTGATGAGGCACTTCTTGATTGAAGACCAGAGGCAGCGAATGGATCTAAAGAATCAGCACTTACCTGGCAGCCTTTCACATAGAATAAATCTTCTGACTTGAAGTTTTGGGCCAAATTTGAGATAAGGGACTCGTCTGCTTTCTTGTCCTTTTTTGCTTTTGCAATAGATGTGGATGGAGAATTCAAAGCCATTGTTGTAAACAAGTTCGATTCAAAGTCGGAATCGCTGTCTTCACTTTCGGATGTGCTGCAGAAAAATATTGCCAAATTTTGTCAGATTACACGAAAATCAATCAGTGAAATTCCAGTTACTACGTATTTAGTTGAATGCCACTAACTAAATTTAAAGTAGATGGAACTTAGCATGAGAAGGACAGGAATCTGTTCAATAGTTTATTTTAGAATAGATATATGCATACAGGTATACGATTAATTTTTCAAAATATGCACACATTTTATGAAAATAACCTACAAGCTGTATAACAACTTTTTGAAGAGAAGATTTGAAGTAGTCAGTGGCTACTCCATTGGTTTCCTTGTTCTTGAAACAGGATGCAAACTTTTAAAAGCTCTAAAGAATCAAAGGGACTAAATTTTGCAATAAGGAGCTAATACTGCTGCCTCATTTTAGCATCAACACACATCAACACATATTCTACCTATTTCCTTTTGGAGATAGGTGCTTTTATGATTGAGCCAGAGACCCCCTTAACGCTTTAACGCCAAACGCTGTCCAAACTGTGATGGAATGCCAATTCAAAGAAGGAATTTGTCAATCTGTCATTAACTTGGAGAAAAATTGTGTCCGAGACGATAAATGTCTTGCAGACATTGCAAAAAAAGACAGAAATTTCTTAAAAAAATGTGGAGAATTATTCATAAATTTCAATTTTTTGTTTGATCATTTTGCTGGTTATTCATTCAGTTTAATCTACAATTGCGAAAGTCTGCATACCTGATGGTGGTTTCTTTTTCTTTCTTTTTTGAGCTGGCAGGACGAATACCTGAGCCTAAAAAATGGTTTTTCATACGCTGTGAACAAAAATTACAATTTTTTCAACGTCAAAATTAATAGAATTAAATACCTAGATTTTTTATCTCAGGCTTCACCTTATCAAAAAAAAAAAAAAAAAAAAAAAATTGTCATGAAATTGCATAAAAATTATCATACAAAAAAGCTTGATCCATTGACTTAGAGCAATAACTCTGAGCCATTAGTCAACTTGGTATCAATACAATACTTCACAATAATTCTATGTTTTCACAATAGATCACATTCTCAACGATATTTATTTGAGTAATGTGAACAGCATATTATTTGAGTAATGTGAACAGCATATTATTTGAGTAATGTGAACAGCATAATACTTATTTCGTACAAAGACATAAAGGCGGTGGGCTAAAAGCAAAAAATGAAGCTTCTTTTCAACCACCTCTACTATTGGCTGGAGGATTGGCGGCGAAATCGGGACAAGTTTGAAATTCAAATGTAGGGCGGGAACTAAATAAAATTGCGGAAACAGAGTATTCTGGGTTGATTTTTGCCCAAATTCACTTACCCACTCATATTTTTTTAACTTTAGGTTAGCTTTGGTCCGTCGTTGACCGAGTAATTTCATTTGGGAGTAACGGTCATCTAGAACTGTAAGGGCCTGTTTGAACCTGCAGAACCAGCATGAGCAGAAGAAAAACTAACTTTATCTGAGATTACTGCCTGTTACCGAGCAAAAGTAGGTGTATCATAATAGGACGCAGTCCCAACTTTCTTAATATATTCGTTTTAGGCATTTAAAATACGTTTCGAAGAAGAAATGTGGAAAAAACAAGAGGACAAGTTCAAATCAAATTTCCGTTTGCCGCCATGAATTCCCGCGCTCATTTACACACTCACACAAGCACCCAACGCCAAACCAGGCTTCACTTTTTCCCCGTGCTTTTAGATACGAGCACTCCGTCTTTATGTCTTTGATTTCGTACAATAATTTATTACTTGTTTACTTTTGATAATTCAAAACTCTCGTTAGTACGAGGTAAATTGCTGGCTCCTTGAGAAAACCTCAATAGTTAAATGAAAATCTATGCATATTCCCCCTCCATATTCCGAGGTTTTTCAGAGCCTGGCATAGACCTCATACCTCGGTAATGTGGAATTTTATGGCAGAGCTCTCTTCAATTAAAAAAATCTAGCAGGTTGATTTCCAGAGGATACCAAAGGTGCTCTCTGTCAACTGAAAAAACTAATCTAGAAAATAACAGACTTCTTCTCCACCAAATGACATCTAGCACTTTTCATTCATTGCATTACATAAAGAAGGTGCAATCTTCATTTTGAATCTCTTGAGAATCTGCTTAGCCAGAATTTTTTCCACTGAACCCTCCAAATTCAAAAACTTTACTAATTCAAACCTTTTGATACTTCGAATTTTACCTTAGCTAGTTGAACATATTTAGAATCATTTAAAGTTACTGATTTTCGTATGTTTTAGCCAAAATTAATTACGTTAGTGGGTTAAACGGACAACTCAGGTAGGTTGGCAACTAAAAGAAATTCAAAATGATGTCCATTAACTTAATAAAGTAGCAAGAAAAATTAGAGATAGTAAATATGATAAGAGAAAAAACTCACGGTGACTAGTCGAAGATCGCCCAAGCGACTTTCTTCCACAGCGGGATTTAAACCTATTAGCTGTTCTGGAATTTCAATTCTAAAAGCAACCTAAAAAAACCAGGGTAAAAAAATTAAGAATAACTGAATAGAGGATTTGACTAGATACTTCAGGCCACCAACTGGCGATGTAATTTTTTCAGAAACAGTTTAACCTTTGTTGAATATTTTTCAGTCCTGAGCTCACAAAAATTTCTGAAAAACTCAATAATACTAGAATTCATAAAAAGAATTGGAGCATAATGGGAATAACTTGGGCTCATTTTTATTCACAGACAACAAAATGTTTAAGAACACACTTATAATCCACTTGAGACTTCGCAAAGTTTTTCTGGTCAAATAATTCATTCCCAAATTTTCCGTAGGTTTCGCACCAACAAAATTCAGCCGATTGTTTCTCAAATTAAATTAGGGGTATTAAGTGGGAGGGAAAATTCCTTGGTGATTCCTTATTTCATTGATTCTGATGTTTTTTCTATCTCTCTGATAGTTTTGTTTGTATCAATTTTTTGTTACTATGTTGTTACTTGTTGAGACTTGAGAATAAATATAAATGAAGAGTGAATAAATAATGATATACTAATAATCTCTACAGCAATTTTATCAAATATACATGAAAAAATAAAAGAGCATTATATAAAGACTTATCATTCATAACAAGCTAAGTGCCAAAAAATCGAAAATTGATTTACGTGTAGCATTTGAACAGTGAAACTACCGGACCATGTATCTCGTTTGCGGTGTTTGAAAATCTCCGCTCCCATTTTATTTCCTTGAAGAAGAACAAATCAATATCATTCTTCAAAGTCTTCATAGAGTTTTCTCCCCACAGAAACGAAAAATCACAGAAGTTTCAAGAATTGATGTTGAGTAGTTTTCCATTTAAAAAATAAACTTTGACAGGGAGTCTGCAACGTTGCAAACTGAGATACATCGTATGGTAGTTTCACCATCGATTTAGTTTTGGGCACCAAGGACAACATGCTGCACAAAACACTAAATTCCATCATCAATAAAGTAGTGCGTATAACGTTCGAAAGATAGCATTAGTGATATGTGTCGTGACAGGGGGCAGGAATAAAAGTCTGTAAAACTTGGGAGGAACTTTTTGGCACTTAGGCCGTTATTGATTATACTAGTTTTCCAATAGGTACCAAATTTGAGGCCATTAGTGAGGAGATGACTGCAGCTTTGCCACCATCATAATTGATAACTTGAACAGGCTGACCTTCTGTAAGTTCTGCGTTGAATGCGAATGCTGCTCGAAATATCATGTGCTGATACTTGACCATCAATTTGATACTATACCTGTGGACAGGTGTTAGGAAAAACTTACTTTACATATATTCATAAACTCAGTCACAAAAATATGGTAGTTTGGTGCTAATATTCATTTGTGCGATGTAAGAGTATTTAACAACTGAATCCGTCATTCTTAAAAAGACTTAAGCTCCAAGAAATTGAAAATTGAGCTCTCGACAAAGTGGTATTGCTTAGGCATAGAGGCATCTCATAGCAAGTGATGAGAAGAAAAAAGAAATTTGAGGCCCAAACCTGAGAATCTTTGTATTGTGGTGGTTTCCAGGATCTTTCAGCGAAAGATTTTGGAAACTTCATGAAACACCCTCCAACCAACCTCGCTGAAAGGCTCCACTGCGTCATGGATGGTATGCTCGGGCAACGAACGGCAAGCCAGAGGCAGGCTGAAAGTGGGTCGCGCGGGCATTACACCCGTGCAAATGCTGAGGATTGCCTGATGTGACTTGTCCTTACATCGAATTTAGCGGAAAGAATGTCCAATTGTGGCCGTCTTCTGCCCGAAAATGTGACGATTGTTCGGCCAAAATTGCTGACCGATCAATCGTCGGGTTTTCCGGCTTAGAGTGCGGCGACCGCCCCGGGCAAGTTTTCCGGAGTGAGTTGCGTTTTGGATCCGGGTGAAGCGTGGTTCTGGTCCAGCTGAAGTTGGTGTTTGGCCCATTTCTCCCCCCCCCCGCAACCCCCTACAGTATAGAACTGTGCAAAACTGAAATTGTCAGGTGAAAACTGCACTAAGCTGTTCTTGATTACGTGAAAAGCGGAAATGGTAAGTGCGCCATCAGATGTTGCTATGATTGGGCAACAGTTTCTGTTGGACCAAAATTTAAAGAAAATGCTAATGAAGGGGAGATGTTTAGGCTCTTACACTGAGGAACAACATACACAATTTTAGCAATAACCTGATGACACTAACCAGGCTCCGCATTTCCATTCATGTATCAATCGCTAAATGCAAAAAGGCGTGTTACAATTGCAATGTTTAAAAAGCCTCTGATCATTTGTTATTCTCTATAAGGAAAACTAATTAAAATATTTTATTGTGATTTTCTGCGATTTATTTAAAATAAATGATAATGAGACTGTTTGTTGGTTTTCCTTTGAAAAATATAACATTCTCAATCATAGCAATCTGAAAAAGGCATTATTCGATTTTATATGTGACTGTCAACAGGGAAAATGACCTTGTTCTACAGAGACAAAATTTTTTGTAGAGTGGTTCTTTGTAGAATTGGGTTGAAAACTAGATTTGAAGATCCTTTCTATGGTCCTAAAGAATAATTTACGAATGGAGCAATCCATTTTTCCATTAGGAGAGGGAATGTTAAAATCTGTAGTGAGCAGTTTATAATTGGGCAAATTCGTGACCTGAATATGACATATTACAATTTTGGCTCTCCTTCAAAACTGTGTTTCTTTCAGAAGAGGGGTCCTCAGTTCATTTTCACTTGCTTAATCTCATCCCTCTCCAGTATGGTGTTTAGAGTTATTGTTGATCTAGAAAACATGCAATTTGCAACGCCGTTTTGCATGAAGCATTCAATTTTACCGTGATTGAGCAGATCAAACGCTATTTTTACCCTGGCTTCCCTGTTTCTGAGACCCATTTTTAGGGCTTCCCTATTTTCATACACGACCAGGCACAACCCGCTAGTTACATAGTTTTTGCACACTTACATGTTTGAAAGCTGATAACAAGAGGAAGAAATGGGCAAGAAGCTGGAGACTTTCATCTTGCTATATTTTCCATCATGTTTTCGTCTGGAGATCATTTGTTCGGCTTGGAGTTTGCTCAATGCAGCACGTAGGTATTTCTCTGGGTAGTGTTTGAAGGCATAAAATAACTGCAAACTGTACGATGTTTTTGCAGATTGACAACAAATTGAGCTCTGTCAACAGAATTTCTCTCCATTAAACGAAATAAATAAATGGCATGAATTGTTAAGAGCAAGAAACTACAAGCATTATCAAGATGCCTGCAAACTTCAAAGAACTAAGTCCCAGACTGTACTCCAGACCAGCATGACAAAGATTTCTTATCTGTTTCATTGATGATTAACTATCATGCAAAAAAAGGACATTTTCAGTATATATCATCAAAATTACACATTTTAGTAATTTTTTATACCAAAATGAAAACTCACGAAACAGAAGAATTGACAAAGAAGAAAACTGTTTGAATTTTTCTTATGATTCTCAGACAATTTTCTTTCAACGACCATGGGTAAATATGATTTAATATTTTTCACTGAATTCCAACCCCCCCCCCCCTCCCCCTATTGAAAATTAGTTGAAAAACCTTAAGAGAAAAATATGTTTTGTACATACAATCATTAAGCAATTGAGTCTATCTCTGCTAGAAAAAATAGTACAATAAATTATTGAATTCTTTAGATGCATATTGATGGCTAAAGTGTGAAATTAAGTATCTACATCATGGTGTTTCAAAATTTCCACTCATATTTTAGTATTTCAAAGAAAAACAATATAACTTTATGGCTTGAAATTTAAACCGAATATTCTGTTAACAGAGAGGAAAAATCAAGGAAGTTATCAGGAAATTACGAGGGGTATTTGTAAAGTAAGTTAATATTTGTCATATCTTCTAAACTAATAAAGATAATTTAAATCTGTAAAGAGTTTGTAAATTGTCATACTCTCAGCTTTCTAAAAAGCTTCAGTTTTTTAAATTTGGTCCTTTGAGTGCCGAGTGACATCAGTTTTCCCACACCCGTCTCTCACCACCGCGTGTCCAAAATTGACGCGCGCTGGGGAGGTCACAGGACGGTAGCATGCGGCTTCATCCTGCAAATTGTCAAAATGAAATTTTTTTTTTTAAAATTTAAAATTTCCATGTTTGTGAAGATCTAGCTTTACTTTTCCACGTAATCCCCGTCTTGTTGGACACATTTTACATACCATGACAAGAGCTTTTTTATTCCATCAGCGTAAAACTGGCGATTCCGTTTTTGCAACCACTTTTGTACAGCTTCTTTCACCTCATCGTCGTCCACGGAACTTTTTTGGCCAATACTCTTCTCTAGTTCAGATAATAAGTGATAAATCACGTGGGGTGAGATCCTGAGAATAAGGAGGACGTGGGAAAGGTCTCATTTTAAGGAGGTCAACAACTGATTGGCCACATGAGCTGTATGGGGCCTAGCATTGCCATGAAGCAGCATCACTTAACGAGACAAAAGGCCAAGGTATTTTCTTTTGAATGCTGATTTTTGAACCTTTAATGACGTCACATTTTCTGTTTGCATCAATATTTGTGCTTCTTTCTAAGAGATAAATGAGTAACACTCATTGAACACCCCTAAAGACGCGCGTTAATTTTGGACACGCGATGGTGAGAGATGGGTGTGGGAAAACTGATGTCACTTGGCACTCAAAAGACCTAATTTAAAAAACTGAAGCTTTTTAGAAAACTGAAAGTACGACAATTCACAAACTTTTTACAGATTTAAATTATCTTTATTAGTTTAGAAGATATGACAAATATTAACTTACTTTACGAATACCCCTCGTATGTTGAATAGTTTTCATCAGAAAAATAAAGTATTACAGTAAATCTGCAATGTCACAAACGGAGATATGTGGTTTTGCACTTTAGCCATTGACATGATTTCACAAAAAAATGATATCATCAAAAATAGTTAATGTTAAAAAACTCTTCACAAAAGGATGGCGAGATAATGATTCGAAACCAAATAAAAACCGTAGAAGAAGTTGCGATACACTTACGTAGATTAAATTTGCTATGACTGATATAATGACATCTGCAGGGGTGGTAGGCTTGGGTGCACTTTTGTCCAGAGAAGGGCAAACACAATCATACAATGACCTAATAAAAAAAAAGGAAAAGTTTGATAAAAAAAAGTACATAAAAATAGAAAAGCCAAAACCTCCGCAGAGACATGGAAAATGTTGGCAAATCTTCATTTTTAGAAATGAAATTTACAAGATTTCTGTGAGCATTTCACTTTCATCATCGCCATATCCCTTTAAAGTCTTGTGATCTTAAAATTTTAAAAATGGACAAGGGGACCGCAAACAGAGTAGAGTTAAAAATTTCAACGATATCTTCGGGTTCAAATATACATTTTGGCTTTATTAAATTTAAAATTGGCACGGAAAACACAAGTTTAGCTTTCGGATCATATGTACGTCTGAGAAGTTCCAATATTTAAAATGGGCAGAGCATCATGGTATATTGCAACCGATTATCTGAATTTTGGAGGAGCTTGAATATCGTTTGACTGGGAGGCATCAATATTCAAAGGACATGATAATTTGTAGCATAGTCATCATACTGCAAGGGACTCAACTGGGAGCAAGGACATATTATGAGTCTGAGTGCGGTAAATTTTATAAGCAATACATTTTGTCAGCGGTTCTCAATTTCAAGCACCGAGGCTACATTTTTAGGTTCAATTTACACATGCTGCTTGAAGAAGTTGAAGGACTGGAGACGCTAGAATGGGAAAATGCACGATACTTTACTTTCACTATCAAACAAAGCACAACAACCAATTTATGTATGATAAATCTACTTACTTAAGTTCTTCAACTGAATCTGGAATATACTGAACTAGGGTGTCTTCCTTGTCTAAAGATGAGATATACAGACGGGGATAACGCAAGAGCAAAATTTCCGTCAGATCTGCCATTGCCTTCAGAACAGTCTTGTTTCTGAGCGGAATGTCTCTGTTTGGCTGACCGACTTGAACTGTGTCATCATTTTCAGCATAAGCAGCGCACAACCCAAGTACTTCCTAAAAATTTGGATTATTTCGAAGATATATGATTTGAAATGCCATGCGTTTTCTGAATATGACCTCACTTAGACTGACTAGTTCTATTGCTGTGAAATGGATTGGATACAACCCGACAAAATGTTTTTCAGGAGTGCCACAGAATTTGGAAAATGAAATTTCCTGTTATTTCCTTGATTTCCTGGTCAAATTTTTGTAAAATTCCCTGACAATTGCTGATATGCAAGATGGTTAAGAAGACATAAGTTGAAAAAGTATTAAAGCAAAATTTGTCTTTGTCCTGCAAAATCGTCAGTTTGCAGATATGCGGTATTGTTCCTTAGCCATCGGTATGGCATATTTTAACTGTTGTTCAGATGTGCTGTATCAGAACTTCCTCTAGAGACAAAAAAAATTGATATACATACGGAGAATTTTTCTTGGAGAGCTTGATCGAATTGTATCTCAGCATTGCAAACCGAAATAGCACGAGCAATCGGAGGTCTTCTTGTTAGATGGAGAAGACGGCGTTGAACAGCCTTGGATGTTTTGTTTTTTGAACACTGAAAAAGGATTCATAACTTTACTTGACAGAAAAGGGAGGGCTCAATGAAAAATGTGTTTCTGCCAAAAACTGCAGGATAAAATCAAAGGAATCTGACTTAGTTGACAAAACTAGAAGGAAAAGAAAATTGTCAATATTCTGCAACACTTTCAATTACGCATGTAGAAAGTTTTTTAGCCCTGCTATTTTAAAAAAACCCAAGTGCTCAACATTTTCATAAGGATGCCTCTTTTATATTTCCCCTGCTGCTCTTACACAAATTGCTACAATTTTGCAAAATACACGCAAATTTATTGCTATTTTTCCCCAATGAGTTGGATTTGAAAATTGTTAGTAAGTTCATCATTTTCTACTTAAAATTTTGAATAGGAGACATAAAGTGCCAAAGTCACCAAAGTATGCACCAAAGTTACAGTTTGTCAAAACTTCCGCTATAGTTTTATGTTTTAAAGAAGAAACAAGCTAATATTATAGCTTGAAAATATAGAGCATTCTGCAAACACAGAGAAATAATCAAAGAAGTTTTCAAGAAATTGCGTTAACTAATTTTCCAAAGAAAAAATAAATTATGACAGGAAGTCTACAATGTTGCAAATAGAGATACATGGTTATGCACTTCGGCCATCGTTATGATAATGCTTGATGTCACCCTGTTTGGTGGGCCCATCGTGTAATGTTCTATATTTAACAAGACATCATTTTACAATTTGGAACTACAATTTCTAGCTCATCTGTAAAAACTTTTACGTGCATAGGGAAATTAGTGGTACATAAATTATTTCTGAACTGAGCCAGAAGTTGTAGTTCCTCATTGCAAAATATCATCCAACTTTCCTATACTAAAATAAAATAAGCATCAATCCAGTATGAGAGAATCAACTCCTTTGGTTCGTTCCAGTAAATATGTATTTCCCACTAATATTCCAAAGCAGGTTTTCTAGCGATGCATCTATAAGAGGTCTGTAAGTTGCCCTGCAGATCTTCTGAGGGTGTTTAGATAAATATAAAACAAATTGTGAATCACCTATCAACACTGAGTAGCTTTAAAAAAAGTACAAAAAAATAACTTTTAAAAAGTCATCTTTGAGAAAAAGGATTGAAGACACCCTACTAAGGCAATAAGTAAGAAAACAGGCACTCTCTCTGCCTTTTCCGAGTCCTTTTTTTCACTTTAAGTGGCTGCATAAAGCATCAAAAGGAGGCGCTGTTGAATAAACTTACCTCAACTTTTTGATGCAGAAAATCTCTGGCCATCCGATAATAGCTAATGCATCTTTGATTCTTCTGATTGAAATACAAAGCAGACACTTTTATGAGCAATAGAACGTTATCTTCCTCAGCAGACCAAGAAGTTCGCCTGCAAAAAAGGAACAGTTGATAACATACGAACCGAAAGAGTCGAAAACAAACGAAACTAACGGAAAAAACCGAGGTAACAAACTGTGAGCTAATTAAATGAGAAAACAGAGAAGAATCAGAAAATTAAAAAACTCAAACTCACAAAATAAAATTAAAAAGCCGACGCGTTTCGGGACACCTCGGTCCCTTCTTCAAGGCTAAATTCCGACTGCCTGTTGTTGTTTACATCCTGCTTGGTGTGGAATCTATCAGTGCTGCCAATCACTTTGAGCAAACAGTTTTCCAGGCATTCCAAATCTAAATTTACCAACTTGTCTCTCTTTTTGTGCATTTCCATAGCTTCCAAGATGTTCAGCTTCCTTCTATCGTTGCATCCAATTAACAGTTTCCCTTCCTCTTCGAACCGATGTCCTGTCTCAAAATTATGCAAAGCTACTGCTGACTTGTCAATTTCTCTGTTCTTAATACTGCTCAGTGTTCCTTTGTCGCCTATGGATCGTAGTAAAGAAGAGCAGAGAATTTTGGAAATTGCAGTGAAAAATGGTTTTCAAGTTGAAACTGTAAGGAATTTAATTCGTAAAAAAGAATTTCGCAAAAGGGTTCAGGAAGTGACCACTCTTAAAAGTATAAGAGAGGATGAAGGCGCCTTTGTGAAGATCTGCTACCATCCAAACCATTTTTCAAAGTTTAAAAAAGTGTTTCTGAAGTATCACCTAAAAGCAGTTCCAGTTAATAGGCACAATTTGAAATCAGTGTTCCATGGTGATCTTAAGGACCAAGTTAGAGAAGAAGACAGGGCTGGCATCTACAGTTTGAAATGTAAAGACTGTGACAAGCAATACATTGGGCAGACAAGAAGGAAGATGAAAGTAAGAATAAAAGAACATCAAAGATGTATTAAGAACAGAGAAATTGACAAGTCAGCAGTAGCTTTGCATAATCTTGAGACAGGACATCGGTTCGAAGAGGAAGGGAAACTGTTAATTGGATGCAACGATAGAAGGAAGCTGAACATCTTGGAAGCTATGGAAATGCACAAAAAGAGAGACAAGTTGGTAAATTTAGATTTGGAATGCCTGGAAAACTGTTTGCTCAAAGTGATTGGCAGCACTGATAGATTCCACACCAAGCAGGATGTAAACAACAACAGGCAGTCGGAATTTAGCCTTGAAGAAGGGACCGAGGTGTCCCGAAACGCGTCGGCTTTTTAATTTTATTTTGTGAGTTTGAGTTTTTTAATTTTCCGATTCTTCTCTGTTTTCACAGTTGATAACAGTTAAAAATGTATTTCTCATCAGCCACAGGAAAAGGGACAAGGTTGACAGGATGTTTGAAAAAATCTAGATATTATACATTGAGTTAAGTGGGGAATTATACCTAATTTTCAGCACAATCAATCAAGATTATTATCGAGGTTATGCAATAAGATATGGATATTTTAAAAGGGTTTAAATAGGAGAATGTAATCTGACAACAATGCTCAGTATCCAAAAGAATAATTCAAGTGCATTCAAGTTGAATTTCTAATATTTAGGATCCCAAACAAAGCTATCTAAAATTTTGGGTTGCTCTTCTTCAATACTACATTTCCAGACTTGCAAGCTTCCAATTTTCATGAATCAAGTCCGGTTCAACAGTTCTAGGCATCAGCTACACGGAAACAGTCGTAAAACACTAAAGCATGGAATAGAATAGAAAACATGGCTCAAGGTTGAGTTAGTCTGCATGACATTCCCTTTCCCTGGGGACGGTCCTCTTTAAATGATGGTATAACTTACTCAGTTCTCATGTTTGCTAAGGCTCGCTGGTCGATGGCATCATACAATGGCTTGCGAACTCTGACAGTTTTTTCCTTGAATTTCTTGACACGGGGGACGGTCTTTTTGATAAACTGCTTTGGAACAACAGCTGGGCCCGCTGGAGCTAGTTTCAGCTTTTTGACAACTATCTTCTTTTTCGATGGCTCTGCTTTTAAAGGCGGTTTGACCATTGCTGCAGTATTACCCTTGGAAGCCTTCAAATACAAAAAAGACTTACAATTGAGTTTCTGAAGTGGAATCAATAAAACTTAATATTGCTGTGAATAAAACAAGGATGAGGAGATGAGGCGAGTATTGTATTCCTCTTTAAAGTTAGAAAAAAATATATGAAAATTTTAATTAGTTAAAGGTGTTTGAATTAGACTATTTGAGGATCTTGACTGTAGTTTTGGACTGGATTTTACAGAGTTACAAACTTGGAAGATTGAATACAATACATTCTTTTTAAACTGCAGTTATGCTGTTCATTATGAAAATGATTCTACTTATCACAATGGCATTTCAGCAAAAGAAAAATTAAAATTTTCTGGGCGAGACATACCCCATGGCCCCCCTGGAACATGCACCTCCAGACATGTAGGTTAAGGTGATTCGATGGAGGCCATCTTTTGTGTCAAAGCGACGTGCGATATATCGCATTGATTATCTCCATAATTTCAGCTCCTTGTCATTTGCTTCAAATTTTGAGATCGCACTTCTGTTGTCATGAGACTGAAGAACTCATGTACCAAATTTGACAAAGAAATTCAAAGTAATAAAGGCGTGGATTTTTTAGAGGAAAAATATCGCATTCGATACTGATATTGAAACTGCACTCGCATGCGATATTTTCCCTCTAAAAAAACCACACTTTTATCACGTTGAATTTCTTTGTCAAATCTGGTACATGAGTTCCTCAGTCTCATGACAACAGAAAAGCGATCTCAAAATTCGAAGAAAATGACAAGTAGCTAAAATTACGGAACAAATCGATGCGATGTATCGCACGACGCTTTGACACAAAAAATGGCCTCCATCGAATCACCTTAAGAACCGCCTCTGACAGACTTATAAATGCAAAAATCTACTTACGGATTCAAGATATGGATGTAATTTGATTGGTTTTCTTAAAGTTTTATTGGCCCAATGCCAATTCCTCTTTAGATGGCTGAAAAATAAATACAAGAAAATAAAGAAGTGAAGAATTGCGCAAAATGATCATAATTTGTTCATGAAAGTAAGTCAATTGTACACTTCACTATTTTTTTGATCATTTTTGTGTGAGTTTTTCTTTTCTTTTCTTTTTGTTTCAGAACAATAATGAGAGTAAGAGTGTTGTACTGACACTCACAGATTTTTACTGGGAGGCAATGGACATTTTCTGCAATTGATGACTGATTATTGAGGATATTTAAAGTGAGAAGATTACACTTTCAGAACTTACCAACATAGGCCTGTCTGCAAAATTTATTTTCATTAAAACACTAACAGTTATGGCAAAACCTGGGCAATCATTTATTTGCTCACCAATTGCACAACTCCAACATTATATTCAACCCGATCCAGATTGATACTAACCATATAGAAGAGGTTTTGTTGAGTTAGGAGTAAAGAAGGTAAAATAAAAGTGGTGTTAAAGAAACTTACGCATAAAATGCTGAATCAAAACCAGCTGCTCCTTTGCCATCACCTGGAATTTCGCCAGTATCATACTGTTCGACTTCATCAAAATGCCTCTCTGTCGTTGCTTTCACAACGTCTGGTTTTGAATCAAGCATTTCAATCACCACTGATTTGCCAGACATTGTTTCTCTAGATCCTTTGATCAATAATTAAAACGGATCATAATCAATAACACTTAAGTTATTTAATTCAATGAGTACATTCAAGACAGAAAAAAGAAGATTCAAAGGTCCAAATTGTCAAATTACAATTGTCATGGAGGCCAAAGAATTAAATTAGAATGGGCAGATGTGGGAACGCATCAGCTTTTTTTTTAAAAAAGATGCGTTGAAGCATAAAAATTGATCCAGCTACTTTCTTTTAGGTGTTGATACACTGAATGTAACAACGCTCTTAAAATATTTTTTTCCCATCAGAAATATGTGTCTGAGGCATTTTGTAGGTGCATGCTATCCCAATACTGCACTGTCATTCTTCGTCAAGTCGTCGAGAGAATTGTTTAAAATAAATCTGAGCCAATTTTTTGAGCTTTCGACTCACAACTGTTGCCACAATATTAAAAAAATGTTATTTGCCTTGAGATGCTATTGATGCCTTGAGATGCTATGTATAAATGTTATTTGCCTAAGAGGGAATGTAGCTTTTAAAAGGAAATGTTTCAAGAAGCAAACTAAATTGGAAAAACGGTTAATTTAGATCTAAATTCAAAATCATTAAAACTGTTGAACAAAATTAATTTTGAGGATTTTTTATCCTTTCAAAGGATATACATATCGTCACTTTCCGGCCAAAGTATCACAAGCGCCATGGGATGTTTAAAAATTTCTGCTACCAATTCATTTTTTTACGGAGAAATTTTTCAACATACTTGTCCGAAAATTTCACCGTATTTTGTTTGTGCTGCAAATGAAATTCAGGGAAATTTTCGAACAGATTCAACCAACAGTTTTTCTGTAAAAAATTAAAATGGCGGCGGAAATTTTTAAATGTCACATAGCACTTGTGATATTTTGGCCGGGAGGTGCGATATGCTTACACGGGACATATGAGCATTGACATTTCAAAAATTTTGAAGGAGTGGCATGCCTGCTTAAACATGATCAGTATTTCGGGCAAATTTGGCGCAAATCCATTGGTGGTCAAGACTTATGTCAGAGTTTCAGAAAAAATTCTGAAAAAAACTTTTATTTACAGAGTGGTGCCTACCGAGTTGAGTGTTAGTACAGAACATCATTGCATCGATCCAGTACTGGTTAACATCATCCATCGAATCAAAGTGATAAGTCTTTTTTGCATAATCCATATCAGAAATAAAGATGTATCCTCTTGCACTAGTTGTTGTGTTATATAAAGTAGCTTGCCTATTTAAGTACACTTGAACCTGGAATATGAAGGCAAATATAGAGAATATTTTTATTTGATCCACTAGACATAGGGGGAAAAAAAGAGATTTTCTGTTTTCTTTTCGTAATATGTAATTGGATAGGAATGGTTAAAAACGAGAAGGATGGAGGAATTGATTGCTATGCAGTTTGAGAATTTTGAAAACCTTCCAATATGTCTGTGAAATACATTTAATTCATAAATGTATTTCATAATTCTATCAGCTTGAACGAAAACTTCTGATGTCCATTTTTTCCATTATTTAGCTTATGGTTTTTATTCAACTTGAAAAAACAATTCCCTTTCAAAATTTGCTTCCTTGCATGAACCGCCCTTTTCCCAGATGGTCATACAAGCACAAGAATATTACCAGGTCCTTATCTTTATGTCGATGAGGTCCAAACTGTACAAGTCCTAAGTACGCAGCTAGAGTCAGAACACGGTGAATTGCCATTACATACCTAAGGAATTGGTAAAACAATGAATTAAAGAATGGAATCATTTATTTTATATGTTAGTTTGATACATATATAACTCAGTTTTCAATGCCCAAATTTTTAAGAATCGTTTTACATGGCATAGTGTAGATAATATAGTGCTGATAATTGGACGAATTTAACTGAAATTAGCCTAACTGCAATTCTTGTAGGCTCCTTTTCTCTCATGTTTTATTTTGTTAACGGAAAATCAAGCTACTTGCCACTTTTGACCTTTTTGAGAATTCACCTTATATTATGAGATTATACTTAAAAAAATATTATATTTCAGTGTTGTTTAGTTTTTGTTTTGAAAAATAAAACACCATAGAAAATTAGGCAACGTCTAATGTTGTTAGGCTGATTCCAGTTATATCCGTTTGCTTAGATTGCAGCTTACAGGAAGCATTACTTCATGATAAAACTTACACTTTTAGTCAAATTACTTCTCAAGAAGAATCTAGACCATCTACCTTAAAAACATCATAAATTAAAGGCATTTGATTTTTCATGCAATTTCTTAAAAATTAAATGCATTAAGTCTAATTCTGGGAGTTCACACGACTTAAAATGATTTCAGAGGAAGAGAATTAAAATGATACATTGAAACACTTACACGCGCCCAAATGTTAGTGCACTTCGAATAGTGATTGGAAGGTCTTTCAGTAAAATATGTTTGTAAACTGGATGAGAAAGATAGTCGTAGATTTCAGGAATCAAATAGTTCAGACTGCAAATCTGGACGAGCATGGATAGGGGCATCCGCAATGTAAGCTCGCCTATTGTTATCCAGCCTTTGTGGACCTCTGTAAAGAGAGAAAAAATTAAAATCGGTTTTTTGAACAAAGGTTTCATGAAAGTTTAATATATCGGTTGGTCGATCAAGTTGAAGGAATATTATCGTCATTTTTTGATTCCCCATTGGGTTCATGGCAAGCTGATCTACTATGACAGCTGGATAATTTGTGCGGCCTCAATTTCTGGCATGTTACTGTTAATTCTAAATTTCATGCTTCATTACATTGAACATAGTTATGTTTCCTAAAAATTATATTTGCCAGCCAAAATGACTCTAACACTGATGAATGAAGTGTGTCCAAAGAGGTGAAAAAAAGGATACTTGAGGAATCGAATAAACAAGATATTACCTGCATGTTTTGGCGAGGGAGGAATGAACAATTTCCAATTCAAATCTTTTGAAAAATGATAAACTCTTGGCAGTGTTACATCCTTGATGGCATTTAAATCTGCAAGAGCTGAGATCTCCGTTTTTATCGTATCTTGATCCAAATTTTCATTGCCTTCATAAAAGTGCACTAGATAGAACAACAACTGGTGCGCCAGCTGTATTTTTACAAATTTTGGGACATTCCTGAAATTCTGCAAGTATGTCTGCAAATAAAAACATCATCTTAGTTACATACTAAAAAAAAAAATAAAATAAAATAAAATAAAATAAAAAAGGAAAATATAAAAATAACTAACTTGTTAAAATCAGAGAGGAGGTATAAATATTCATAGTCCTGGGGAGATACCAGATTTTTGAAATTCCAAACAGATACATTTCCCTCTCTTCCTTAGTTATTTTAGGAAGTTTTAAAATTTGTGTTGCCAATAAGGGCGGAACTTTGTAGCCTCAGCCTATTCGTCTTTGCCCAGAAGAAGGAGTGTAACTTCATTCCAAGGTTGCAAAATTGACTCAAACAATTACATTTTTTACAAGAATGTACCTGTGTAATTCTTGACCAAAACTTTCTTGATTTTTGGTAAGACGAAAAATCTGTGAAATTTTCAGTTGGAAATGTCCAAGATTAGCCTGGTAAAAAAGCATTTGGCAAGGAAAAATTTGGCAACATTTATAGGTAGTTGTGTGTGAGGGTGTCAACATACTGTCAGAAAAAACAGGTACCATTGAAAGGCAATCATAGGGGACTTCACTCTCTGCTAAAAATGATGGAATAGAGGCCTTTCACTTGCGCCGTTTGCTTTCTCTTCGGTATTAGATTGATACCATCTCAGACTGTGACATGTTCACTTATTATCATCATTTTTCATTTTTCATTCTAAATACTTAAAATTTAAAATCAATAAACTGAATTATAACTCTCTAGTTTGTGAAAGTATAAAAACTTACCGAAGATAGTACTTCCAGATCCTGTGTTGGTTTTGCTGCATCACTTGTTGAGCTTGTGGTAACGTCAGAGAACATTTTACTTTGGAGCGACTTGACCTCAGCTTTCACCTTCTCTTTTGATACCACAGACATTCTCAGTTTAGCATGATCAACCGCATTAAGGACTCTTGGGTTATCTAGAAGCAAATCAAAGCAGAATTTATCATGAAATGCTATATAAGTACAGTTCGACAGTTGAAAAGGGGCTGTTTATAAATTACTTTCCGTTAAAATTCAAATTTTATGACCTCCTTCCCCCCTTCACCATTTGTTACACTCTTTTACACTAGGTCCTTATCCTAAAACAAATGATAACAAAATGGTGGAGCGCTTTCCTGGACGCCCCTCCCCCTTAGAGCGTTACGTATTTTATGAATGGCCCCAAACTCTGGCCAAAGACTCTTCCTCTTTTGGAAGACCACTTGGTAAGAGGAGGCTCAAGTTTTGCATGACAAACTTAGGTAACAGCCAATTGTTACGTTATCATCCAACTTTAAAGAAGTCATACATTTCTTTTGGAGAGGGGAGAGGAATTTTGGGATAACATTTTGTTTGGTAAAATTGTGTAAAGTCTTTTGCGAGGAGGGGAGGAGTGGGAGTAAAAAAACGCAGAAAAGAGCATTATACATAACTTGCAGTTTTTCACTTTAACACTCATTATATTTTAGTGTTGATAGTTGTCCTTTATTTCTCCTACATTGTCATCTTCTGCATAAAGGAAAGTATCTTGATTGTGCTGTTTCAATGTATCTTAATGTCATTTTATTTTTTAATGGGTGAGCCATTGCATGAATTGCAGGAATTTTTCCTTAGACTTGTGAGAATAGACACTAAAAGTTTCAGACCAATTTGTACGTGATGCTTCACCCATAAAAAAATAAAATGTTCATAGAAATATTTAAACAGCGCAGACAGGATATATTCCTTCCTGTGCAGAACGTCAAAATGTGGAGGAAATGGTCGAGTCTATGAGGTTAGGATTTAACAACGATCTAAAAAGAGAAGAGAAGGAAAAAAGAGGTGACTGACCTGCAGGAATATGAGGTAGACAAACTATTGTAAGCTTCTCCAGTCGAGATTTTGCCTTCAGAAGGTAAGAGTAAGTTTTAAGCAAACCTTCTGCTTCCAGTCGCAACACAAGCTTTATCAACGTTTTCTTATCTATTTGACCTGTTGTTTCATCACCTTCCTCTGCTTTCATTATTTTCTGTGAACAATTTGGAAAGTTTTATACATTTCAGCAGCCATTCCTTAAATTAATATGTACGGAGTTAAACCACAAAAAATAGTCTGGTAAGATATGGGTGAGGAGCTCACCTTTAGGGAAGAGGTCCATCAAAGAGCCTTGTTAAAAATGGGTCGAAATTCGCCCCTTTTTAGGCCCTCGATTTTGCAAACGGGAATTGCGCCAAATTGTTGCATATGATGCCCTAAGTCTCTGGTAAAAATTTCAGCTTGAGTTGAAATGTGGTTTCGGAGATACGGGGGGGGGGGG